AAGACGTACCTCTTCGACCCATTCTCGATATGACTAATTCACCTTATCACAGTACAGCACAATGGCTAGTAGACATACTAGAACCAGTCAGAAAGCAAATCTCTCGCCACTCACTTCGAGACTCCTTCGATTTTGTCAATTCCATTGAAAACGTCAACGTTTCCAATCAAACCATGTTCTCACTAGATGTGGTATCACTGTTTACAAACGTCCCACTAACCGAAACAATATGCTTTATATGTGAATATATTGATTCAAAGGAGATGAACATTGGTATACCCACGGACTATTTGAAGGAACTCCTATTAAGATGTACTCTAAACGTCCAATTCACTTTCAATAATGAAATATATAGACAAAAAGATGGTATAGCTATGGGTTCACCACTCGGCCCGCTGCTTGCAGATATTTTCATGTCAAAACTAGAAAATACACACCTAAAGAAGACAATAGATAACTTCGGGTTCTACAAGAGATACGTGGACGATACTTTTATTATCGCCAATAATGAGGAAAACTTGGAGAACATATTGGACTTCTTCAACAGTTGCCATCCAGCAATCCAGTTCACACTAGAGAAGGAGTCCAACGCAACAATATCTTTTCTGGACGTGCAACTAACAAGACGCGAACAAGATGGGACACTCAAAAGATCCATTCACAGAAAACCGACATGGAATGGACAACTCATCAGCTTTCACAGTTGGGTGCCTCTATATACAAAACGAAATCTAATCCGCTCACTGACTCACAGAATCCACAACATTTGCAGTCCGGAAACCATAGAAGAGGAGCTGAAGACCCTGAAAAGAATCCTCCTTGAAAACGGTTACCCGGAACGTTTCATCACAAAAGCCATGAAGCCCAAAACACAAAAACCGTCCATGCTTACTGCTCCCAAGAAACTTCTCTATTTGAATCTACAATTCAACGGAGATTCTTCAGCAGAAATACTGAGAAACCGCCTGTGCCGTTCACTGAAGAAAACCTTCTTCGCAGCTGAACTCAGACTAACTTTCTCTACGAAACCAATGATTCGCACGAACGTGAAGGATAAGCTTCCACTGGGGGCCTCATCAATGTGCATCTACCAATTCACCTGCTCATGTGGAGCGAGGTATGTTGGCCGTACCCAGCGTTTGCTATCCAAACGAATCAGCGAACACTTACCTTCATGGTTTTATAAAGGAGAAAGAAGATCCCCCCGCCACAGCTCTATCCTAGAACACTTGATCGAATCCGGACACCAAGCAAACCCACAAAACAACTTCTCAGTTATCTACACAATACGTGGGAGTCTTGCCAAAAGAGTACGAATTAAACTTCTTCAAACTGCAGAAGCAATGGCAATTCACATATTGAATCCTGAACTCTGCATACAAAAGAAGTTTGTTCAGTCACTAAATCTACAATGGTCCTGATCTATCTCAACACCAAATACGTAATTTTGTCTTACCTCTTTCTTCTTTGTTTGTCTGTTTCTTAATTGCATTATTTTCTACCCCCACCCTCTATTAAATCTCTACCCTCATGACGACTGTTACTAACTCCATTTTCGTTTATTTTTAAGTGAATTCTACTCAGCTTGTCAACTTAACTCTCATTCATTTTCAAGTGAATTCTACTCAGACTATTAACTTGACTCTCATTCATTTTTCATTGAACCCTAGCAATTAGATTACGTCACCCAACCTACTTTTGTAACTTTATTTTAGTTTCTAACCGATTAACGCCTTCTAAATTACGTAATTTGTTGTCAAAAATTAACAATTGCATTAACACATCTTTGGAAATATTCCTTTTGTTGCCAAGAAAAATTACTATAAATTTGCGGTTTGTACAGCTTGAGAATGATATCGCCGAAAAGAGTAACTCTTTGCTGAACGCCTTTTCTTTTCTATGACAACGAAATTAGTTGCCGATAGGTTTAAGGGGTCGGTAGGTGGTGTGCGTTTCAATCTTTCTCTGCAACAATTTGCATTATATAAGGCTCGTAATAGTGACCACTTCCGTGAAACTTTGTATTTGTTATTCCTCTTTTAAGAGGAATGCCTTCTGGAACATTCGCTTATTCAAGAGAATTCCTAATCGAATGAGATTTGCAGACTGATAGGGATGCCCGGAGAGAGTTTTTGATTTTTATGGGCAGTTTAATTTTATGCTATAACATGAATTTAAGACTCGAGTGGAGTGGCTTTGAATAAATTCATTGCAATAAGAGTTTTGTTGTCAAGTGACGTTAAACGTTTACAGCTTTATTATGCATGGCATAGTACAAAGCATGATACTGTCCGGATAGTGATTTCAGCAGCTTTATAAATTATTCTTTCTTACCCTCAATGCTTCACAGTGATTCAAACAGGATCCATCTACTCCAGTGGGTAAAACTCATCCAATATATATTAAAAATCAGTAGTTAAATGCTAACATTAAGATTCTTTGCTGAAGGAACACGTGACTTGTAAACTTATATCAACTCTTAGGATTAAATAAATGTATTAGTTGCTATTCAGAAACAAAATAATTATAGCCCGTGTAATAATACTGTGTTTAAAAAGGAAGTGTAGACCGTACTTCCAACCATGAATAGTGTTATCTAAGGTTAATAAGGTGGAAACTAGTTTCTGTAATGCATGAGATATCATTACTGTATAAACTTTGATAATCAGTGAATCACTTACACAGTAGTGCTTTAAGTGTATAAGCAGAATTAGGCCTAGTTACATATAAGTTGATTGTATCGTCTCACTCGTTTTTCATAGTAGCGTAGTCGTCTCGACCACATCCTATCGAAATTCCCCATTACACTTAGAAATACCTTTGAACTACTCTTTACGACATTGTTTATTACTCGGAGAGGATTTATTTAGTTTTCTCATTAGCACGAGTACTAGGTTTGAAATCAAAATTCACTTAGTCTTTTCTATTTTAGAAGTGTATTTAAGAATAAATATCTCAGGTTTTGTCATCATACTCCCTTGATAGAGCTAATCAAGCTTAAAACTCTTACTGATACAAGTAGTCTTCATAGCCATACGAAAAATGACATTAACCTTTAAAAAATATAGGTTACCAGTGAACTGATCACAGTTAGAAAAACAGTTGAAGTAAAAAGCCAAGATCGAATTCGCTTATTTTAGAAGAGGGATCTTTGCAAAGTGTGTAACTCGAGGTGAGATTTTGGTGAAGCTTTGTATAAAAATTGTGAATTTTCATATTACAAAATGTAAATAACATGGTACTGTGAATAACATCAAGAAAACAAGCGGGAATGAGACACCATACACCGCTGACTGATATAAATCAGCCGCATATAGTTTACATTGGATACAGATCACAGATTTTGTTTTGGTTTTTAGCTGCTCCTAACTAATTTCTTAAATTATATGTCTAGTTTGAAGAACTCCAAATGCAGATTTGACTTTGAATTCTAATGCTATGATGGCAGGATTTCCACTCAAATATTTTGTCGAAAGGATCACGTCTTGGAGAAAAATTTCATCAAAATGAATTTTTATAACTGTTGTTCACTCTATATTATTTACCGTGTCTCAAATTATTTCTTTTCATACTTTTTGCATAAATATTGAAGAACAGAGTATGACATGAATATATATATATATATATATATTTATATAGCAATAATTCGAGTAACAGAAAAACAACATTTCGAAATAAACTTGATACTTACACACAGATCCTTCCTGTTTTTAAACTTACAACGAGGATCTGACTATTACCTTGAGAGTATTATCGTACAAATAACAAAGTTTGATATTTTTGTAATGGACAGCTAGGTGTTTCTCATGATCACTAATGAAGATTTCGTGGACTAGAAAGAAGGTTGTCATATTGTCGCTTGGCCAAATTTAATTAATTATATTATATCCCATCGGATCTGTTATGATAGACGACTGAAACGTTGGAAAGAACACTTTTAAGAGCAATTTAATTGGCCAACACCTCCCTGAGTAAAATATAGACACAGGTCCTCCGTCCATAACTGAGGTTACAAAAGCTGTCACTAGTCTGAGACGAGGCAACACAGCGGGACCTGATGAAATGACTCCAGAGGTGTTTAAGGGTGGCGAAGACAGTTTACTGTCTGCGCTAACTAAGGTACTAGAAAGCGTCTGGGAACCAGAAGAAGTCCCGTCAGGTTGGTGTAAGTGATTGATTATCCCGATATACAAGAAGGGAGACAAGTCTTCCTGTGATAATCACAGGGGAATTAGATTCACCTATATGGTATCGAAAGTTCTAGGCTCAATAACCATGCGTAGACTAAGCGGTGCTCGGGAGGAACAAACACAAGAGAACCAGGTAGGCTATAGGCCAGGAAGAGGGTGTATTGATCTTATCTTCGTGTTGTCATACTATGAAAGCTTTAACAATATACTTCCCTAAGGTGGATTATTTTGATTCACATTCTTCCTGGAGTAAGACAGTACTAGTTAATTTTCTCGAAAATGAAATTTACTTTTAACATGCCCAGTTTTTTGACACTTTAAATCATAAGTAATTATGATGTGTCTTCGGTTATGAGTAATTATATGCGAGGTTTGAGCTATGGTCAATTCATTCACTTAATATTTACCTCATTTTGTAGCGTGCTGTAATCATTATTTGAAGACATTTCATAATTATGTGCTAGACTTTGTCGGAATATATACTTTTAAGTGGATCTAATTGGTATAAGTAACTAACGTGTGCGAATTTGCAGCTCAAGAATTTGTATTATTTCAGAATTGCTTTAAGACTGAAAAAATACAGTAGAATATCAGTTACCTTATTTAAAAGGTAAATGTTATTATATCAGTAGGAATGTTTAAAGTGTGTATCTTGCATCTCTGCTATTTATGAGAAAAATGACTAAAATGGCGTTATCATGCAATGCAGAAAGATCCTCAGTTTTGAATTCAACTGTTAACACCTCGCTATAATAACTGGAAAGCTTTTGTGCTAGTTATAAGATTACTTTACAATCTAAAATTACTCACGTCAATAATTATGCCTTCACGATTTTCTTGGAAATCACCATATGCATTCTTCAGATGAATGTTTTCTTGGCTCTTATGTTTAGTTGGAGTTGGTAAACAAAAATTATCTTTTGTGGACTGGTCGTTTTCCGAATTTGTAGTAATTCCTGATAAAGGCATTCGTCCTGCACTTGCATGCCTTTGGCGTGTGGCTGTTGCATTAGCTGCACGTCGGTAGCGTTTTGGTAATTTTCGAGGTGTTTGTATGTTTTGCTTATCGTGACTAGATATTTGTGAAGAACTACTTTCTAAGAATCTTTGACTAACTCTCATAAAATTAAGCAACTGCACAGTGAAGTTCCATGGTAAATAGGCATGTTTTTCGTCATCTGAAATAACTGGCCATTCACAATTTATTGTTCCGTCCGATATTTTACCGATCATTTCTCGTTCTGACCCGATATCTAGTGGGTCATAGCAGCAAGGGCATCTTAAATAGTTTTGAATCTGATTTCTCACATCAGGTGAGTTGGGCTTAGATTTTTGAAAACGTTTTCGGAATTTATTTCTTGAAATAAGTTGACGATGGTAACGATTTATAGTTGGTATCCTCAGCAAAGCAGGTTTCAGAGTATATCTAGGGATAAACAGACTTTAGCAATAGAGTTATGAATGAATAAAACAAACTAAAAAGAGTATTCCACACTTATATGTTTTAGGAGCATTTCGGCAATCAGTATGAAGTGACAGTTTTTGAGGAAGTTATACCTCAACTACCTAGCTGTTACTAAATGCGAAATTCGTCCAAATTTAGTTGTCATTGATATCCATTTCCGAACTGTGAACCAAACCTAATTCATAAAGTTAACTGAATCAAAGTTTGTAGCAAATGAGTATGGCGTAACAAGCAATGCATGTAAATTAGATTATTATTATTTTTATTATCATTCCCTTGGTTTCCGAGTGGAATATAGGGCTTCAACAACACACCTCCACTTTGTTCTATTCCCTTCGGTCAGCTTTAGGTGGCCCCTCGATTCACCATAATCTCTCATCTCCTCACACGATCTCCTCTGTGTCACCCTCGCACTGACGACGCACTCGTCGATTCCCACTGGGATTCCACTCAACCGATAACCTGCATTGTGCGCGATGTCATTCGACGGTCTACTCAATTTATGCCTGATCCATCTCAATTCTCTCCTACATATTTGTTGGGCGATCGGCTCTGGTTGGTTCGTTCCGAGCCAGAGTTTCTTGTTGCCAATTCCATCTGGCCGGCCGGCCATTTGATCTTCAGTATGGAGCCAGCCAGCGAAGGGGGCAGTTGTAGAAAAAAGTCTGTAGTGACCTGTTGGAAATCCTTTTTGCGACACGCACGCCAAGTTCCTGATCCGTATAGGGAAACTGACTCACTTGACATTGGTGTTGAAAATTCGAATCTCGTTCTTCATGCAGGCTGAGTGAAGCAGAAGATTTTCAAAATGGTTTCAGGTTGATGAAGACGTATCTTACCCTTCCGATTCTTGCTGGCTACCTGGCTGGCTGGCTTTGGCATTTTCATCCATGCCGTGTGCCTGTGGTTGAAATCGTGCTTCCTGGCCAGATAAGTGAAGGAAGTAGCCTCTGTCAAATCTCTCCCGTTGATGGTGATTGGTGTTGGTTGTTGCTGCTTCTGTTGGTTGGTTATCTTCATTAACTCCGTCTTCTCTATGTTCACCTGGAGTCCACTCTCCTGTGGCTGCTTCCTCACCCAGTTTGTTGGTTTTCTCCTACAAGTCTTCGAGTTTGTGTGACATTAGACATAAATCATTCACACACGAAATCCAGATCTTCTAGGGTTTTCTTATCGGTTAAGGCTGTCTGTTGAAGACCTTTTCAAAGTGGATGAGGGTAGTTGAGTTAGGGAGGAGTTTGGCTGCCATTCTGTTCTGTGATTTGTTCTGTGATGACGATGCGTAGAGTTGCAATTTGATCATCACATGATTCTCCTTTCCTGAATGCAGCTTGTTCTGGTTGGTCAGGGTGGTGGAGTTCTGTATCCAATGCATGTTTTATTCCCTCCAGGATGATGCGAATTCGATCATTATTCCGCGCCGGTTCTTACAGAATGAGCCGTCAGTTGCCCTGTTTTGGCAGCTAGACTAGGTAGCCAGTCATTCTTCCAGTCAATATGTACCTTGCCATCCTTCCAAACACTGTACAATAATGACGTCAGCATATCTGCTTCAGTATATGAGTCTGTTTTCAGTGCTTCGCAGGAAATTCTGTCTGGTGCTGCTGCCTTCCCAGATGGACTTCAGTAGATTGATCGCATTCACGATTTCTGCTTTCGTTGGAGGATAAATGTTCAATTGCAGAAAGGTCTGTGCGTGCTAGTGGCGGTGGTGGTGGTATTTGTGGGCGAGTTGCAGGTGATGGGCGATTCAAGAGTCCTCTGAAGTGATCAGCCTATTGTCTTATTTGTTTCTTCTCCTTGGTAATCAGGTTCTCTTGAACATCATTTATTGATTTCATCATCTAGGTTGATCTCATCCCGGATAATGACTTAGTTATCTGATATAGTGTCCTGAAGTCTCTTATGCTTGCAGTCGGCCTGTTCTGCTTCAGTTGCCGACCAGTGTCTAGTAGAACTGTCTTTTGTCTTTCCTAACACTCTTCTTCACGTTTTTCTTGATTCAGTGCAGTGTGCATTGCTGTGAACTCAGCTTCTCCTTCTCCTGTTGTCCATCTCGGCATTGAGTCATTCCATCTTCTCTTTCACCATCCTACTCTCCTCGCTTCTTCCAGGTAAGTGTCCGTTGACAGCCACTCCTTGTCGTGTGTCTTCTTCCTTCCTAGAACAGTTGCACACGTTTCCTTGAACATCACCTACAGAGAGTTAGTTCCAATGTTCTCTCTCTCTCACACACACAAGTTTCCTCAGTGATTCCACGTAGTGTCTCCGACTTTGCTCTGATCTGATAGCTGGAGTGAAGGCATCCCTCGTAGTTTTGTCTTCCAGTTTCTGAATGTTGAACTTGAATTGTGATGATCTGTCTCCAGTTGTTTTCAGGGATTTTAGCCTCACCTAGAAGGTTCCTTGAAGTAGATGATGGTCTGAGCCCACCGACATCTGCTCCCCTTCTCCACTTTGTGTCCAGCAGACTGACTGCGTCTCCACCTCCTTGAGTGGCATTGAGATGAAGTCTATCTGGTTTGTGGTGTGTCCGTCAGGCGAAATTCACGTCGCTGGCTTTGTGTATATCCATGTGATTGCACACGCTGCCTCCGATCATCAAATCGTTGAAAGAGCAGAAGTCTGTGAATAATTTTCCATTCTCATTCATTTCACCGAGTGAGAGCCTGTCAATCCATGATGAGTTCTCTTCCCGTATTATCTGCTCCCAGTTCGGCTTGCATTCATATCGCCCATTAGGATTTTGATGTCACCATTTCTGATGTTTTCCAATACTGTTTGTAGTTGTTTGTAAAAATCTTCCTTCTTCTCCTGTTCCGCGTTATTTTTAACCCTGTGCGTAGCATTGGATAATTGTGACCTCCCTTCCCTCCTTCCTTCCTTTTGAGTTGAATCTTGCTGTCATGATCCTGCATGAGGAGATTGGTTTCCATTGCATTAGAGTTCTGGCTGACACTGGTGACATCATGATAGCCACCCACTGCCTGAGTGTGCTCGTTGTTGTTGTCTGGGTGACTGGACTGGAATAGATTACTGACTCTCCAGTTGACAATTCTGACAGTCCACATCCGTTACATCTGCTCTCGTAGATACCCAGCTCTTCTATGCTATATCTTTGCATTTCGCTGGTTACCTGGACAGCCTTCCAAGTCTCGTACATTGTACGTACATTACACGTCCCAATTCTTATTCTTGCTTTCATCGAGAGGATACACATCTGCTGGCTGACTGACTTCCCCGAAGGAGGAGTTTCACCACCCCACCGTGTCTTTTCGTCTCTCCGATTCGAGCGAAGAATAAGATTCTTGTCATTTGAATTTGTTTAAATATTTAATGTATATTCTGTGTGTTGAAGTGTCTCTAGCAGTTTGATTGATATCCTTTCGTAAATTTTCTACAAGTCACGTATTTTTGAAAATACAATGTATTAAATATAGTAATTTAAATTCTGTATCCTACCTGTACTCCTACAGGGCATGTTCTGTCGTGATTTCTTCGTAGCTATGAGTTACCACTCAAAGGACAAATCCATTTATATATTTGCCTTCAGCTTTAAATTTAAATCTAATTTTCACGGTGCTGCTTGGTTTTATATAAGATTGAAGTAATAAAAGACATTATATTTTATAAATAATCTCAGCACTTGGAGAAGATTAGGTATTTGACAGTTCAATCTACTTAATGAAGTGAAACGCAGGTGTTGGGGTTACAGTTAGATTTGACACACCTAGTGGGCATTAATAATTTCTCTGAGTCAATGTAAAACAATGTACATTTATTTAATAAGAGAGTTAAAAAATTGATACTGTGGCTGTAAACTAGCCATACAGTTTGCAATTTAATTGCATAATGAAGATTATTCTTACCCATCTTCCAACAAACCTCTATTGTTCTGCAGACTGCAAGTCTGACTGAATTTCATAAATTGTTGACGTACACTAACTGGTTTATTAATGTCGTATACAAATGGGGAAACATCGAGGTCGTAAGGGATTAACTGGCATCCGGCGGAGCGAAATAGCTAGCAAAACAGTGGAAGAAAGGGCCCATTTCACTTGGCAGTATTAAAAAACAAAAGAAAATCTTAATGTCTTACTACTTTCTTATAAACCTGCAGATTTGGCTGTGTTAGTGTATTAATGTTTCCATTCATAACTGAAGATTAAAATTATATGCATCAGATTGAAAATATCACTGTGACTCTGTCAGTAAATAAGAAAATCATAGTCTGTAATATAATTCATTATTCACTTCAGTAACCTAATGAATGGGTCACTGGTATTCGTACTGATTTAGTGTTGAATTCAGTTTTCACTAAGTAAATCGATGCAAAGCAACAAAATTTAGGCTGATGAATTATATTTAAGAATACGTATATATGTATCAATCAAAGTGCCTATGATTAAACAGCTCATCTTTCAATGCTGTAAACCTTAAGTAACACTGAAAAGCAAAATTTTATTAGTAACAGGACATTTGAAATTATCATAATAAGATATACTCACTTGATAGTAATCCCATGATTTTTCTTTGTCACTTAGGAAGACACAAGTAAGACGTTCTTTGTTGTACCTTGTAAATGTTTAAATAAATACAATTAGGAAAATAGAGCATGTCTACGAACGAGACTGATTATTGATAGCGTCATACATTTAAAATAAATATAACTTGACCAAAAATGACTTTCATAAGGTATTTGGTACTCGAGAGTGATTTCATCACACACAGTAATACCAGCTTCAAAGTAGTCTCTACGCCCAATTCTATGCTAAACTTTTCAAGCTAGTGTGAGAACGTGAGTTTTTATCTGCCAGATTAAAATTCAACATCGCAATAATGAAGTTGACGGTAATCTGTGTTCAGTCCCAACTTTAATAACTCCATAAGTCAAGGCTTCCATTGAGGTTTTCGGGATTGTAATTCTAGTACTGAATGAAGTTCAGAGATAAATACCCAGTGATTTTTAACGACTAAGATGGAAAGTAACTTACTTGCAGAATAATGTATACGTTCTATTCTCGTATTGTTGGGCCACGTTTCAGCACAGCTGAAATGAAACAGCTATACAGAGTTAACTGGTTTCCAACACTTCAAAACAATCTTTAAATCGACCAGTTCTTCGAAAATTAATTAAACGAGTAGGTCCAAATTCCAGACAATTTCAGTGCGAATGGTGTTCGAAATTCAAATGGTCGCACTAGTGCCCATAACAAATATGCTAATTTGAATGAATAAACGTTAAGGGTTGGTATTAACTAGAAAGAAATCCAGGATGCGCATTTCGTCCCATTTGATATTCATCACATGGATGTACCTGAAGTGCAGTGTGATAGCTTTCCTACTGGGAATTGAACCTTGATAACGATTATTTCACTTTTTATGCAACTATGCATTCTGTTTATTATTATTAGCATCATCATTCTGACCCACTGATATTAACTCTGTTGATTTCTAATTACTTTTGAATGCTTTCTTGTGTACTGTTACTTCGCCATTTTTCTGTGTGTTGCTAGTTAACTTTTGTTTTGTTATTACACTACTTACCAAAGCTTCCTGAGTGCTCTTTCAAACTTATGATAAATAACCGGTTTCTTTTTGTCTCAGTTGTAAGGATTATACCATCACATTCTATTCATTGTTGTTCCCTAACTACTGCTCAGTTGAACAGAAAAGTGTACATCCTCACTTCATCAGTCCTGTGTCTATGTCTGCAGCACATCTGATGCTGTAAATTTTGTTCTTTAAGGTTGGATGGAAATACAGGTGTTTAGATAGATCTGTAATCTGAACTAAAGATCTTAGTGGCATAGCTTTCAATAACTTTCTGTTCTTTATGTTTAAGAAGACATTAGAGGAAGGGAAATAACAGAAAGCTAACAAGTGCATGAAGACATCGATTCTGAAATTGAGACTGTGTTAGGATTTTGGGCTGGTCTCATTGTTATAGAATGATAATTAAGCTGGTTTGAAGATTTGTTTCGTGGTTGGACTCACCCCAGCAGTGTTCAGCTTACTGGTAAGTTGCTCTGGTGGTTGCGCTGTGAATCTTAACTTCTAGTTTTCCCCAGCTCATGTTGATTACTCAGAGACCAGATAAGATAAGTAGCTTCTCTTTGTTGTTGGTCTAAAGGCTAGAACTAAAAGTACTCAACTCATAATATATACCTTCCAAGAATTTACAGTTGCTGTTACCAAAATCAAAAGAATTAATTCCATTTCTTACAATCAATGGTTATTCACCTGTAACTTCAAATAGGAAAGTTGTCTTCAAGCTTTTAAGAAGTACCAAAATGCTTTCGGTAATCTAAGTTAAAGTCCATGTGATCAAGACGAATGTTTATCAAGGAAATAAAATTTCCATAGCATTACTGTGTTAGTTTTCCTCTTGTATAATACATGATATTCATAAGACTTAAATAGCGGTAAGCACCAAAATTAAACTTAAAGCATCAATTATGAAAAGGATACCTTGCCAGTGATTTCGTCATTTGCTTTTTAGATAGTAAATACATTAAGTCAGCAGAAGAAACGTTTGTTAATTTTGGTCCAATAAACCATCTTAAAGAATCTAACCAATAATCCGTCGGTGAATGGGGACAGCTTTCATAACTCTCAATGGTAGATTGTCTTTTCAAAACACTGCGTTTATTGCTTTTGTCTTGATGAAATAATGCATTAGTCAGTGATGTAATAGAGTGACGGACATTTGATAGACCTGCTTGAAAGCTTTTAGCAAGTACAGTTTTTACTGGTGAATCAACATTTTGCTGGTTCAACTTGTTATCTGAAGAACTATTGAAGCTGTCAGCACTACTATGTGTACTTCGACTGGACTTTGTATTTGATGATAACGAAGTTTCTTCAGTTGTTGAGGAGACCGTTGAAACAGTATTTGTTGATCCCGAGTCATCTGACTTTAAACTTGGTTCACTTTCACTCCATGAAATTATTGACCTTCCAGTGCTAGTTAGATTAGTTGGTGTAGCATACTTTTCAAATGACTTCTGTTTTTCATGGGCAAATTTATTCCTAAATTTTTGTAGACCGTCGCGAAAATAACCAAGTTTACTCTGTCCAACTTGTTTTTGTGATGTTTCATGTACGGGGGAACTTTTCTCACTACGACTCCCACTACTACATGAGCAGTGACCACAACTGGAATTGGGACTTCGTTTACGATAACTGTTATCTGAGGATTTACGTGACTGTCTTCTAGATTTATGGCTACTTTGTAAGTCTTGAGTTGGTTTACGCTGTTTTAATTTGGACTGTTTTACATTTTTGTCAGGTTCTTTTCCAATTAGCAGCGATCCTCTTTTGGTCATATTGTTATCTAGAAAATGTGGTTCTTGCTCGTCGCTTTCTTGAATATCTGTGTAAACAAGAAAAATGGTTGAAAATAAGACTATTTTCATGAGTAATTTATTAAGAGAATGAAGAAACTTGTTTTTGATACAGTGGGTAAGCCATGTATTTTCTTTATGCATATTCAAAATGAAATGTCTGATGAAACCTGGATTTCATCGATGAGACAACTTCTTCAATCGACACTGTTCATTATATAAAACTAACCAGTTATTTGAATTCAAAAATTATTGATGCACACTGTTAGTTGTAACATTATAGTGGAAAATAGATCTCTTTGCATTTATGTCATTTTCATAGCTGTACAACAGTATGGATCGGAAAAGATAAATCAGAGGATGTTATTTAATACAGGATATTCTTAACAAAAAGGAACGTCGTAATGGTTTCGGCCTCTATTTAACAGAGTCAATAAGTATATAGCTGTCTTCAGTAAAACAATTATAAGGTTAGAGGAAAATATCTAGTGTCATCGAATGGAAGTTAATATCTGAGTGTCTGCCATCACGAATACTTGTAAAATGAATGAAAATATAAAAACGTTACTGATATGATAGAATCCACTCAACAAAATAATTCATTTTCATGCAGAAAGTAAATAATATATTTGTTGTTTCGCAATTTCTCTTGTGAAAGCTTTATATTTTGTTAACCATTAGTATTCATGTTTTGAAAAGAAGTAGTGTAAACACTTTCAGTCATATGAATGCTTGGTTTTGAAACAGAACTGTGATGTCTTTTGATATGCATAAATTCAAGGGATCTCCTGTCATTCTGGGCTCTATCCCTTTATAATCAGTCGAGCCATTTTCAAAAGTTACTTTTAAAAAACTCTCACATTTTTTTAGCATTTGAAATAATATTGTTTTTAAGAACAAAATGTCCAATGAAGAGTCTCTCTTCGGCGAATTTTAGCTGTAAAGTACTGTTTTTTCAAAGAAAGGACTTTCTCATCGCCAGTAAAAACTGCAACAAATTGAGTGAAACGTTTGTCTTACTGAGTGACTTCTGCACAATCTTCACTTATTTATTTACGTAGGTTAGTGTAGGTTGGAGTAACTGTTTGCAGTTTAACTTCTGATCTATCGATTTAAACAAGCTAAAACCAACAAGTTGATAAAGGAGGCAGCGAAGAAAGGAAACCAGGTGAACATAGAGAAGATAGATGTGACGAAGATACTTGACCACCACCGACAACAACAGCAAGCACCAATCACAATCGACGGGAGTGATATAGGGGAACTAATCTCTTTCACTTACCTGACCAGTAAGTCGGTCAGCATCGTTTCAATTACAGGTGAGCATCACAGATGAGAATGTCACGATCATCCAGGATCGGATAAGGAAAGCAAAACAGACGTTTGTTCATCTGAAACTAGCGTGTAGACCTCCAGCACTCAACGCAACGAACAACACCGAGACTCTTGACACTAATGTCACGTCACTGCTTTTGTATGGTTCAGAGACTTGGCGCTCCCGTCACGAAAAGCATTTCCGTCAACGAATGCCTTCTCTGGCTCGACACTTGACATCAAATGGTTGGCTGTTCAGAAAGTATAACCAACAAGGGACTTTGACAGGCATAAAACCAGCTAAGAACCTATTGTTTGACCAGGAAATATGGAGAAGGGACTGCATATGCCTTAGACATATACGAGGTGACCATTGAGTGATATCACGTGGCAGGTTGTTGATTGGTAGCTGAGTGGAAATCGATAGGTTTGGCGTCCCAGGGTGACATGGAGGAGATAGCGTGAAAAAAGATGAAAGTTTGTGATCTGTCTAGTAGCCAGGTGCAAGTGAGTGTGATGGAGGTGTGCTGATGAAGTCCTATGTTCAATTCAGAACTCAAGGAACGAATAATAATGACGATACAAAATAAGGGAGATGAACTCATTATTCTTTCAGAATAAATTATTTCCTCTTTGCGATAGGGTTCTAGTGATACTTTTGGTGTTAATGGATGTCAGACAGTGAGCATGATTTGTCAGGAATATTTTTAGTCGGGAGTTCTAATAAATGCCATTCATTATGAAGTAAAAGTATTAAACATTTAAAATGTAAATCAAGTCATTCACCTGTTGGTTTTCTGCTTTTGTCAAGTATCAGTCCTGAGTGTTGTGAGTGTTTCTTTTCGTCTAGACAATCCATTGATATATCAGGTGTTGTATTTACTGTTGAGGAATTAAATGAGCGGTTGAACTTTTGTATTGATGCATTCGACAGACGTCGGGCATATCTGACGGTTGCTGTTAGAAAGGTATCCTTATGTTCCGCGTTTTGTTCCGACTTTTTCGGTGGTGAAGTGCACATACGTTTCTTAAACCATCCTTTATGTGGTTTTGAGACGACTTTTTCCGGTGGAATGTTCTGTTCTTCTCGTTTAACCGATGAAGCTGCATATCCATTTCACAGTATATTATTTGAAAAAGAAGCAGAAAAGTGCACAGGTTATAGGAGGCTTTATCTCAAGAAACCCTTCGTAATATTCTTAAAAAAAAACCAAGATCAGATTGGTAGTATAAACTGACAAACTCAATAAGTGGGATTCTTTGTACTTTGGGAAATCGAACAGACTTAGTCAAGCAAAGTAATTTGGTATACCAATCAGCACAGCATGTCAAGTTTGTAAGTCGGAGTAGTGATCAGGGTTTGTTAATACAACAGAGTGTAAAAATTTAGCTAAACAAAGAATAGAAAGATATGTATTCTTTATAAAAAACTGTTTTACTGACATACGTGAACTGATTTGCGTTGGTACTGTAGAATGAAATTCAGGGAGAGAGTTAAGATGTTACAATTTACTATATTTCAGTTGAAATAGATTCTTACGGATCTTTTTTAGTGAGCGAACACTAAACATTTGTCATTAGAATGATAAAATATCAGTCGCAGATATTTGAACAATTTTTCCAGCATGAGCAAAATAAACCAGAGAACTACACCGCACCAAATACTATACATTCTGTGGTATTGCTCTAAAAGTCTTGTTGATCGTCTCAGCCGAAAAATGATAATGTGAACATGTTATTGTCACAATCCATGTACTTATCAAATCCAGCGATCTGTACATATCTGTTATCTTCGATAATTCACTAAGCTGACAACTCAAAGTTCTATCATACAGAAGAATTATGACTGAGTTACTACACAGCCTGAAATTTTTGAAGGTCTTGGTTTACCAATACTTGAATTCAGCCATTAGCATTCAGTGGAAACAACAAGGTCCTTTTCCTTCTTTCGGGAAATTAAAACTTGTTATGATTTACCAAATGCCCAATTCATGGATATCAAGTTTCTTATACCTTCTGCACACTAAAGTCTAATACACCAAATTTAAACAAGTAAGTTACGTGATGTGACTAATATGCAAACATAACTTACTTTGAAGAAGTAGAGTTTAAGCAACAGAACTACAAAAATGATGGAATGGTTCTTTATCAGCTCTTTGTGAAATCAATTTCTGAATAGAAAGGATTACAGAGAACATTGTCTACTGCAAGGCAGCAGATATATCTTGTCAATAAGGTGTAAAAATACAAGTGAAATACGGAGATAGTTTTATCTTCTAATTTCTGTACAGTTTTCATTTAACGCATAATATGAAACAATCTCAATTAGGTTTTCTAATCTAGTACAGATATAATATTTTTTTGTTATAGACTTACATGCACATTTCATGTTGCCGGAAGAAGCATTACTACGTGAAACAGCTGACCTTTGCTCGGTTGCATCTCCATAAACTTCACTGACTAGATGTTTAAGTAATTTTCTTTTTCTTTCTTCATGTTTTAGTAGGGCTTTTCTTGTAGTGATTATATTGAATATTGAAGTAAGTAGTTCAGTTTCGTCTATTTGTCTTTCCACTTGCTGACCAGCTTCTTGAATTGTTTCAGGATTTCTAATGTGAGAATTTTCGTGATGGATTAACTCTACTTTGGATTCTTCTGATTTACCTTTAAGCCCTGACTTATGAAATATATGAGACTGTGAACAGTATTTACTGTCACCTTTCTCAGCGTTTAATTTAGTTTTATTGAGTGAGTATTGGTTGTGCAGTGCTATACATGTATCAGAAGGAAACTCTGGGGTTAGTAATACAGCCAGTCTAGCTAAGCGTGGGTGTAGATATGTAATTTCATCTTGACTAGGAAATGTAGGATTCCGGTCTGTAACTGTGTTTGTATACATGTTGTAACTTGGGGAAGCAGAACAGTTTGGATTACGATGTTCCATGTAAGGTGAAGTCATTGGAGATGGAGTTTTGTTAGGTAAAATTGGTGAATTTAATTTGTGAGTAGTTGGCGGACTTATCTGACTACTACTGTTTGTAGAACCAATATCTTGACTTGCTGACTGAAAGATAAATTAATCATGTGTATATAAATTAATAATTTCTAGTCGCGTTACTTAAAAACATTGTTAGTAGCTTAACACTTCCAATATGTTTTTCATGGAGGACACGAATATCCATTTTTGTTCATCCATTATTCACTGATCAACTGATATTATGTTTAAAATATCTGAATGTCATTTTGAGTTACTTGCCCACTGAACGCTTAAAAATGACATTTTCTTTCTAGAAAGCGGCGGTTCTCCTTTATTCCGAGCATATCCTAAGTGCGTTACACTTTAAGTTGGTGTTTTATTACAGGTTATTGACATTTCACAGGCTTCGATCAGAAAATCAGTCGGATCAGTTAAAGCATAACTTGAACCTTTAATTGCCATTTTCGTTTTAGATGACTTGTATTTTTAACTTAAGAGATAACTATAAGTGATGATTTGTATATAGGCTTCGCATTAAAATACTGAAGGGGGTAACCAACAAAAATGGATGGAAACTGACAGTTTAATTCTTTTCGGACGCATAAAGTAAACGCCAGTTACTAAAACCTCTCCCTTCTCTTCTTACTGAATTTCTGTGAGATATTTGTGTGGTTGATAAGTCAAGAGTGAATGGTAGTTGATTCATCTTAATCCATTTAGAAATTTGATACCAAAATAACAAAATTTGTTGTTCTCTTACTTCAAGATATCTATTCTGTCATATTAATTTTAAAAAGTGATTAACTTCAGTGTTATGCTGGAGGAGAAATTTTCAATTCATATTTCTACAGCCATTGAAAATCAAGGACTACTTAGAAGGCCTTTTACTCAATGCATAACAGTCTAGGTAGCAGAAAGAGTAACTGAAAGACTCACATGCCTACATCTGACTTGTGAAAAAGTCTCAGCCACTCAGAAGTGTTTTTATGCTTGGAAGTAGAAGTAGCCATTAGCGTGAGATTTTGTGTCAAACATTAGTAAAGTCAAAACTAAGTTCACTGTCTGACAATAACAGTCCACTCCTATTTGGCTAAATGACAACAGATATTAAACCTAACTAACTTTTATTGAAATACTTATTTGCGCACATTCATGTATATGAGCTCAACTACAAATAAAACAGTTTAAAGTGACCTAGAAACTCTCCGCTTTAGTTGTGTTCCTTATTTACATAGAGGATATTCACTAATGGACCTAGCCTCCAAAGCCTCAGGATGGTCGGGGGTGGGTGCCTTGCGCTGCGGGTTGGCCACCCCTCCGCACACCTCTTGAAATGCTCCCATATGACCAGACGTCTTACATAGCCTCTCCTGAGGAAGTCCTACTCACTGCCTCCACGTGGCGGAGGTGTTTTTCACCAAAGTGAGAGGGCGAAAGCGGATGCCCGGCGCTCTTCACCGGGTTGACTGTCCATTGGATGACAGTCTAGGGGAGATGGCTAAACCCTGATTCCAAACCTCCAACGACTGGCGTATGAAGCTCACTGGAGCTCACCGGCAGACGTATGAACAAAGGGCTTGTTGGATGTCCTGGATATCTGGCCCCATTCAAAAAGGCGTATGGACCGAACTCCGGTCACCGGCTGCCAATGGATAGTGGACTCCCTACTCCACTCCTACTGCCTTGTAGGTCACACTTGGTCGTGTAAAGGCTAGAGCTGCACTCTCAAACAAAAGGCCGAGCGATTCTGGGGACATCACTCGTACCAAATTCCCATGAAACTTCATGAACTCTCTTGCTACAACATCAACCAAATTCCAGTACTGGTCCAACAACGTCACCTTCGGTGGTTTGGCCATGTTCTGCACCGACCAGATGACGGTCTGGTCAAATCAGTTCTAAATCCCTCGCCATTACTATCTTGGCGATGTCGCAGGGGTGGACAGCTGAAAACATGGCTTGGTACAGTCAAGGCTGATATGGAGTGCCTGGGGCTACAAACCGTCTACGGACTCCGTCTGTGGAACAAGAATTGGATAACCCTGTCGCAAAACCTTGCATCAGATCGCCGCGCCTGGGCAGCGATGATTCGAGATGTTCATGAAGCCGGCTCATCCTCCCGTAGGAGATAGCCGAAGTAAAGTAAGTAAGTAATCCATCAAACTATAAATCTAAAAGAATATTTTCATTTTAAAAACAATAATCGTCTTACTTTTTGTTCACCTTCAGGATTCGTGACGAATACTGTAAGTGGTGCGGTTATTTCAGGATTCAGCATAAACTTCTTGGTCGGAGAGATATTCCGTGACTACAGTGTGTTTGACAGAGAAAGGAGAGACAATTCATTATGCTAATTATTAAAAAAACATTTCTTTTACTATGTAAGGGAAGTATCTGGGTATATTTACAAATACAGAAATTAAACAAACATGAAATTTATTATCTACTATTTATATCTTAATGTTAGTTAGATTAATGAGAGTATTCAGTGGAAAGCTACTTGTTTATATGAGAAATTTACTTCTTGGTTGAATGTTGTTTACATTTGAAGAAATTGAGTATTTAGTGTAGATTCCCTGATGTAGGCTAATGTCTTACAACACGTCAGAGTAGTCTAACCCCAAAAGAATTCCTTAAATCAGCTTGAACTGCTAATCGATTGACGATATATATATATCCTTAAAAGTAAGTCTACATATTATCTCAAAACTAATCGCAACCCACCGCGTCGGTGGCATAGCGGTTAGGACGCTCGCCGACCATGCACATGGTCCGGGGTTCGACCTCCGGCTGGCGCACTCCTTTACCTCGCTAAGCCAGAACTAAAGCTGGTGAAGAGGAAAGGTTGAGCATGAGGCTAGCAACCCCATCCTGTAAAATAAATACTGCTACAGAAACTTCAAGCCTCTATCTTGAAGCCCTATGTTCCACTGGGAACTTGAAGGAATAAAAAAAAAATCGCAGCCCATAGAAAACTCTATTGTTAACACTGCACTTTAATTTAAAATACTGAGGCATCTCATAATGTTTTACAAGAAGTAGCTTTAATTGACCTTACAGGGTCTACGACCATGATGAGGACTAATGAGTTTTGTAACACCAAAGAAATTAGGAATATCATTTTGGTTAATCGCTATTTGTTCTGCTTAGCATGAAATACATGTTCACGTGTTTCAAAAGCTTCCTGAGAACGCATTACATTATGTGTAATGCACTGATATATGGAGTAATTTAAATTTGAGACGTAATATTGGCTTTATGCCAACAGAGTTGTAGTATGTACAGTTAGCTTGTTTTATTCATCTCACTTTCCCTTTGTTATGATGAATATTCATGACAAAAGTTGACATGTTTAATGTTATGAATCAATTGGAGCTTACCGCAAACATTATTTGTGATCAGAAGTATTACAGTCATCTAAACCGTACTTCCAAATAGTATTTCTGTTATCCTGAGTGATAGTCACTACTTTCTGATCATGTAGAGATCACCGTAGTGAATGATGCACTATTATAACCATGTTTCATAATGCTAAACATTTGTTTCGACTATTTAATAATACAAATATGTATTCATTAAAGCGTAACTTTCTTATTTCCTAAAGTGCAGATATAGTATTTTCTTCACATTAGTATAGAACAGTAGAAAACCTATAGTGCCCAACTAAACATATAAGGTAGAATTAATCTTTACATTTACGTGATTATCTACATTGTAAGTCAGAAATTTCATCTATATTTCCAGGCCTCTGTGTAATTTCCTTTTTCATGATTCATTATTTTATCAGTGAATATTACAGTCATTAAACATGTGATCTATGCTTGTTTACACTATGCATATTTTTGTAAATTCACTCTTGTATATCATTGTTAATGTAAATGCCGTTAATTTGACAAGAAAAATATGCTGTTTTAATTTTCTTGTTACAATAATCTACTGAAACCAGATGTTCATTTAAATGTCTATTACTGTACCGAGGAGTTAGCATATGACGGAAATGGGAGCAAACTAGTATCAAATGAATTGCTAATGATGATGTTCATTAGTGTTTAATTGATCGAATAAATATGGAGATGTATATTTATGAATTCATATATATATATATATATATATATATATATATATATAAATTCCGAGGAAAAATAGGCATCTGTATTTAACTTCATGTTGTTACTTTGGAGTGAACGGAATATAGTTAAAATTATAATCAGTCTTCAAATGTAATAGTATCGGACGAAGTTACTGAGAGAAGCGTATAAGCAAATGCTTTTAGCCTACTAAACTATTATTTCATTCTTTTGATAAACACTCGCAGATGTGAATTAATGGCGACATGATGACAAGCTGTGATCTGGAGTATATCAGTTCAACCATTAGAGTAAAGCAGTGACTGGGATAATGACCATAAGGCAACTGAAATAAAATTAGTAGTTTAGTTTCTTTGTTTCACTGACACGTCACTATGGTAACAGTCTGGCAGACGATGATTTTCACGTGTTTGTGACTAAAATCTTCATCAAACTGAAGTTGTTATTTTCGTCCAAATGCATCATTTTCCCACTATGTTTTGCAGTCTAACCAAACTTCATCATACATTATTATATATCAGGATTGAATAAGCTTTGGTAAGAAAAGGATAATTTCTGTAGGATAATGAATAAATAATATACCTGGAAAATGCTGTTACATATGAGAGACATGACAGTTTTCCGAATTTCAAATAGTATAATGCCTTCTATATGTTCGCGTGTGGTGGTGGTTATTATAGTAGTGCACAAATAGAAATATTCTAACGACAACAATATAAGTGGAAGGTTTATGCTCAACAGCTTAGTATATTACAAAATATGCTAGTAAAAATAGAACTGCAACAAAATTTATGAAGTGATATTCATTATTAATGTGCATAATCACATACAAGAAAAAAAATTGATTAACATTCAGTTAAGTGACAGTTTTATTAGTTAACACTACGGTTTTGTTGAGTTATGCTTCATCACTACTGGAGTGTATATTCATTAATTTACATGCACATCTGTGTATTGTGAAATCGGCTTTCAGGTTATTTGTATTAAATAATATCCAAGTGGTTTATTTCTGACTAAAACTGCTAAATGAAAAGTGAAACTACTAGTTATAGAAAAAGAGGCTTTTTTCCAGCAATTTCACACTTTCTTCACCTGTACAAGCGCATTTGTATGCAGCCTTTTTTCCAAGTGAAAGAGATAAACTTTCATAAACATTCTTGCCAATATTGATCAATACACAGGAAGAGCAGAATAAGGGTGACAGAGTTATGTAGTCAGATAAGTGATTTAACTAATCAGTTCTAATCAGTATTCACATAGAAACAAAGGAAATATAGTAATGCGTAAGACTTCGAAAGAACAGAAGAGCTTAAAGAGTTTAAAATGAAAAAAAATGGATGAAAACAACAAGGCTATTACTATTATTGGTAGAGGTGGTTGAAGAAATTACTTTTGTCTTTAGAGCTCCAGTTTCGCTATCTATATGGTTAGAGCTTTAGCAGTGCGAAAGTGGTCATTCCGTATTGTTCTTGTTAGGCTGCTCTTTGCTGTGGAAGAGGAATTTGTTGAGACAGAGTGGCCAGTGTTGACAAGGTGTTTAATTACTGCATTCCTCACGGAACGCCTGCTGTCTACCTTCAACCATGCAAAGTAGTGTTCCTAAACTCTTTTAGGAAATATACATGTTAAACGGTCGGTATACCTGACTCCACAGGAACAGTTGAACTGATATATGCGCATAGAAGTAGTCAGATGTTGTCTTTCAAACTTTTGCATACTAGTAGAAAACTGAAGAACATTAATGCTACAGTTGCTGCGCAGAATGTCCTCTAAGATGTTAAAATTCTTCTTTGGAAGACATCAGAGGTTGGGTCACCCAAGAAACCAAGGTTCATGTAAGGTTTCTCTATTGACACTAACGATTTTTCATGTCTCCTAATTTCCAGTCTGATGTTCTTATCAATAAACCTTGGTAGATTTTGATTTTGGATGACGATTTTCTCAAAGAGTCTAATCCTTACTCTAGGGTGTCATGGCGTAAATACATACAACGTGAGTGACAAGAGATATCATTAAAACTCATTCATTAAATTATCCATCTCAGTACATAACTCTATCATGAAAACTATTTGATTTTAGAGAAATTCAGTGACGGAATTTAATACAGAATTTTCGGACTTCTTTAATAGCATGTTGTTCAGTCAATGCCAAGCACTATGGAGAACTTTCATACAATGATAAAAATGAAACATGGTTTTGTTTCTTCCCCATCTAAGCTGCAGGTAATATAAACTAGCTATATACAACCTGATTAACTGTATTCGTTACAGTAAACAACGGATTTTTAAAGAGAATTTATCGACGACTAGAAAATGTGCTTCCATGGAGTACAGTCAGAAAGTATACGAAGAAAGGTTGTGGAGTGATGGGCCTTCAATACTAAGCTTATCACGGAACTTCCGGTTTCAGAGTTTGGTTTCTTTTAGAAGGTCACTACAGTAGTTTGGTCTAAAACAGCTGTTTGTTATCTTATATCCTTCACTATCAGCCCAAATGATGAGAAGCACAGTTTGTTTTTACTCACTGCAAGAGATTCACCGTAAGTTACCGTTAAGTTCATAAGACTTGTGGTTTGAAGCCGATGGTGTTTTGATTGATATTCACTTTATTATGAAGCAATGTTTACGTCATAAGATTTTTAGTGGAATTTGTCAAAACTAAGTTCAAATATGCTGTGATGCTAAATGAAATGCTTTTAGACAACAAGTAGTCGCTATGGTCTGCATTATGAAAGTAAACGAATATTCAGAACTTTTTGATTGCACACTAGTTACTGACTAGTGTGCAATCAAAAATATCTAATACAGTCCTACAGGAGGTCAGTCGCAAGCCTGAATAGCTCAGTGGTAACGTCTCTGACTGCAGCACTGGGTGACGCGGGTTCGAATCTCAGAAGGGACATCATTTCCTTCAAGGTTGCAGATACGCCTTGCTGATGAGTGCCAACTAGCACGAAACCTAGGTCCAAGGTATCCTGCCGATTGCCTCCAACCATCTAATATTCAGAACTTTACTAGTCAATGTGTAATTCTACGAGGTGATATTTCTCCAGTTGTGAATTCTGATAGATAAGAACCAAGGTATTCTAAAAAGGAAGGTTTAATGTTGAGGTATAATCTGTCACAAAGAATGCATCAATAGGATTTGAAAGGTAAAAATAAGGAAGTTTGGGTGTTTAGCAGGCAAATTAGTACTTTGACTAAATATTTTATGGGGACGTAACTAAACTTTATGTAAATTTTGTGAATTGAGATAAAATGTCTTTGTTGTTTAAAATATAACTGACAATAGCGGCTAACATTCTCATTTAACGATGATTATAATATTAATGGCTTTATTCTGAACATTTTTGCATACATTACAGAATTTTCAGCGTGATATTTTGTCTACCGCTTGTACAAAATCTTCAAATTAAACAGTAATCTAAAGTTTATCATTCGAAAGAATTTTGTTCTATCTGCAACACGCACCAACCCCCGACTTGCTTCTCGCTTCAGAACAGACCAAGCATGATGTTGAAAGCTATTCAAAAGTGCACATAGGTACAGATTGTTCTTCAAGGGTGTAAATAGGTGGTTAAAGAAAGCATAAACAAGTAAATTTAACGTCTTGTACCCTGTGCAAACTTTGGTCGCCCAATGATTTAAGCAGTCCGTCACCCTGCTTACAAGGGAATAAAGTTAGAAATATACTTGAATCGCGCTGTGTATAGCGGAAGCTGTTCGCCATATATCAATAAATTTTCATCGAACTTTATAGTTTATCAGCAAGCTATAATTATGTCCTAACTATGCATTGATGTTTTGTTTTTTCAATAGGGTGAGGTGTGTTAACTTTGCAACATAATTATATACTTGATAATTCAGACCATAAGTAGTTGACAAGTTACTGAGAGTATAGAACTGATTCGTTTTATGTCTCTGAGATTGTTATTTTTTTTAATAAAAATCTTTACATATAAGTTGCGAACAGTTAGATTTATAGAAAGTAAATTCGAATTCAAGATGAATGTTAAATATAAAGATGAAATCCGTTTTGTGGAAAGCACAGTGTACAAATGAGCATAACGGTCAACATATGATGATTATAAACTAATTAACTATCAACATCCCAATAAATAAGAAACTGGATGATTGTATACTTACTGTATTTGATATTAATTCCTGAGATTGATCCTCTGAAAAAAAATTAGTAAGATTAATCAAATTTGAAATCATGTAAGCAGTTCGTTCGGGAATTAATACAATATATTATATATATATATTAAACAGCGTGAAAAACTTCAGATTCTATTTTGATAGTCTCTTGACTTTCCTGAAATTGTAAGGGCATCAAAGTGTTGAAGATATTCTGCTGGCTGCATATGTTTAATGCCCACATTATTATTATTTATTCCTTACCGAATGAAGGAGAGGAATTCAGCTGAATATCTTCACTGCACTCTAATTCCTGCCATCACTTCCAATTAGCCACACGACTGCCCGTAAACTTTCGTTTGCTCTTTACGTTGTCCCCTCCATTTCACCCCGAATCCAACGATTCTCTATCGGGTTACACTTGACGACCTCTCAGTGTATCTCCAATGCATCACCATTTCCTTCTCCATGGTTTCTGGTTAGGTAGTGGGTTCTTAGTTAGTTAGCATTTGGTTACACTTCATTGTTGCTTATCTTTTCTGACTAGCCAACCATCTGCAATTCAGTCTCGATCCAGAGAAGGCGTTGGGAATGCTTTTAGCAACCGGAGTTCCAAGTCTCTGAACCATACATTAGCAGAGACGTGACATTAGTGTCAAGAGTCTTGGTGTTGTTCGTTGCGTTGAGTGCTGGAGATCTACACGCTAGTTTCAGATCAATAAACGTCTGTTTTGCTTCCCCTATCCGATCCTGGCTGATCGTGACATCACCAGGTTTTAGTTTTTGCTTGTGAATCTGCACAGCTTACTAAACAATCTTCAGATAAAAGATTTTTCCTCTAATCATTTAAAGATTATCAGGAAGTAGTATATCAAGTAAAAGAAATTAATTTACATTGATATTCCATCACAGTAACGTTAGATTTCTCACATTTTAAAGATAACCATGAGTATGTCGCTACAGTGAGAACCTGGAAGATCAAGGAGTTGATAGTTCTAACCTATAACACTTCATTAGACATTATGCTCACAAAGTTATCTCTTGATGCTGCACAGCCAAACACGTGATGCCATAAGGAAACTTACGAATTTGTGAGAAATGTGTTTAAATATTCCTTTACAAATGTAATTTCACGTATCAAGGGAGGTGGAATTCCAGGCAAATCTCCTACTTGTTTATTGGTATGGAAATAAGTTGGGTATAGTTTGAAATTTATTTCCGTTTGTGCTTGTTTGTTCCTTATATTTGGAAAATCACCGTTCTCGCTTGCCAGTATCATTGCTTATGCTTGTCATCATATTCTATGAGTGCTTGATATGCCCGAGTGGAGTATAGGGCTTCAACAGCACATCTCCACTTTGTTCTATTTTCTGCTGCCTTCTTCAGCTGGGTCCACGATTGCTCATAATCTGTCATCTCCTCCTCACACGATCTCCTTTGTGCCACCCTCGCACTGACGACGCACTGGTCGATTCCCATTGAGATTCTTTTCGAGAGATGGCCTGCATTGCGCACGATGTCATTCGACGGTCTCTTCAATTTGTGACCGATCCATCTCCATTTTCTCCTACATACTTGTTGAGCAGTTTGTTGGTTTTCTCCTGTAAGTCTTCGAGTTTGTGTGACATTAAACATAAATCATCCACACGTGAAATACAGATCTTCCGGAGTTTTCTCACCTGCCATTCCAAAACATTCCTTTCTTCTCACTTCCTGTTCACAGTATGACGCATGAACCAATCCAGCACAATTAGGGGTATAAATAGTGATAAAAGTCAGGCTGCTTTGGCTTACTCCAGTATGCAGTCTGAACGCCTCGCCGAATTTCCTCTGTGGATCACCTGACTGACACGTGGCATTGCCAAATAGCCGGCTGTTGAATTAGGTTGATAAAGACTTGGGCACTGCACTCCGTAGTGTTGAAGCGGTTTCCAAATCACTTCTCGTTCAACGCTATCTGTCGAAGGCCTTTTCGACGTGGATGAGGGAAGTTGACGTAGGGAGGGTTTTGACTGCCATTCCCTGCTGTGAGTTGTTCTGTGATGGCGATACGTAGGTTGATCAGCACATGATTTGCCTTTCCTGAATGCATGTTGTTCTGGTTGGTAGGGCTGGTGGAGTTCTGTATCCAATGCATGTTTTATTCTCTCCAGGATGATGTGACACAGTATTTTACTTGGCGTGGAGAAGATCATTGTTCCACACTAGTTCTTACAGAGTGAGGCGTCAGTCACCTTTCTTTGCCAGCTTGACAAGATAGCCTTTCTTCAAATCTGCAGGGAAATATTTCTTACTTTTTTATCTGAAATTAGATTATTCAAGATATTTTTGAGTAGATTTATGGATGCTATAAATGTGCCTGTTTCTTTCCTCTTATTTTGCTTCAAACAAACTGACTTACCGAAATGTCCTTATTCAGAACTGTTGGAAAAGGTTACTTGAGAAGTTTAGTCATGTATATATATAATTGTGGAAATGCACAGGATACCTACTTTTAGAGTTTCAGACTTTTGTACACGGGATAAAATTTTATCTGATTCATTAAGTAGACATTAAGAGATTGGTCTAGACATTAAAACAACTACAATTTGGTCTTCTTATATTACGAAATTCAGTTTCGTTCGTGTTAGAGGTAAACTGAAGCACATCTGCGGAGTATAATTACAAATTAGGTAAGGTTGTTTTTGATATGTCAAACAATGGTGCAGCACTTATTATTATTATTATGAAATTTAGAGCACAATTTAGTAGTCATGTGAAGTTGATATGATAGGTATCATAATTTGTAGCCTGTTGAATTTACCACATCACTGTGTGCCATTTCAAACAAACTTACCCAATAAGAATCCAGCTTTGCGTAATATCTACTCCTTCAGAAATAATCCATTGGAAATGATTAAACAAGAGATTTATCAGTTAATTAAGTGAGGAAAATGAATATCATGGTGCATTTTTCTTCTTGTTATAACTCTGATTTCTATAAAATCTGTACATATTTTTATTAATACCGGATGGTGGAAATAGCTGTATTTAAAAGACGCCTTGAGAAGAGTAGAAAATGTGGCTTCCCATAGTCAGTATTGAATGACAACTCTTGATAAAGTAATTGGCATTCTTACTCACTGATACGTACACTTGATAAACTATAAAACCATGAAACACAAGGTATACAACCAAACTAAACACTTCGTTTTGGTTACAGGATTTCATCATCAGCTGACTTCAGTTAGAGAACAATTGGGTTGGAACTTACTGTGGGTGTGTACTGCTAAAGGGTCCCAAACTAGGATGAAACAGCTGTCCAGTACTCCCAGGTTTTCCAATGGTTTTCTGACTGATGTCAGCTACTGATGAAGTTCTATAAGCATTCAAATCAAATCCCGCAAACCAACACTTGAATACCAAACATTTCTATCGTCTACAATCTTATAAACCAAGCAGATTACGGATAAAAACAACATAAATTTCCCAAAAACCATAACTGTTACACATCACGTATTTACATAACGTTTGTTATGCATCAGAATGGTAAAACAATGCCTGACTTGTCTGTCTATTGAAAGTTTATTTTATGTTTTTAGTTTAAGAGGTGTATTTGTAAGTGACTTGGCGCTAATCTTAGTTTTTCAGGATTAAGTTAGTTATCTTGACATTTTTTTAATTAGACAATACTGTTGACGAAAATTTCAATAGAGTATGATTCATTTGTTTCCACTCTCTGCAGACGAAATAAACAGAGATGTCATCTGTAAAAATATCATATTAAAAATAAACCTACCGATAGTGAATAGAAGGATTGAATCTCAATAATTAATGAAACTAAATTAACTGCTATGTCTTTCCAAAATATTTTAAATTTTGTAAAAAGCAATACCAGCAATTAAGATTCAGTAACAAGAATACTTAGTGAATTATTTGTCTGGATAATAATACTTTTCTTTTAATAGTTGATTAAAATTACAATAGCATCAAAAATGGCAGAATACAAATGATGTAATAGATGGTTATAAAGGTTGAATTGAAAATTTCAATGGCAGGGTGATTCAAGCCTGTAGCCTTCAGATCACTATCTAAGTGTTGTACTCGCTGGATGAGAAGATCCAATCTACCTTCATTTATCATCCATTACACCATCTGTTTGTAAAATAATTTCGATCTGTTTTTGGACCGTAAATAATCACACAGTGTTTTACTTACCGGATAATGATTTACTTGTTCTGACCAAACGAATACTTAATAGTACTTTGTTCTTTAACATTTCTGGTGAAGGGAGATGACGCTAAAAATAATCAATATATGCAGTGTAGAAATCATTTGGCAATCTTGTGTTAACAAACTGGCTTTATTCTGAAGTTACATTACTTTAAGAATATGTTTAACAGTCATATTTTAGCAAGTTATTTGAAACAGAAGCTATCAGTGAAGCATATACATATATATATATATATGGTTTAGGAAATGTGAACTGCCCGGTTTCGTTAGTACAGTCACTAGAAAATGTTTATGCAGAGTAAGGAATGTACCATACTGGTCGAGAATAAATAAATTTGAGTAGAAATGGAATCAGTAAATAACAGTTTACTAATGTATAGTATGTTAGGTAAATATGGATAAAAAAATATGAAGTCATTTCACAGAGTTTCCGCTCTAGATAAGACAACGCCTGTAAGTACATCCTCAGAAGAAATGATAATTTGAATTTATTTGAACTCTTCTCCCTCATTCAATTAATTTTCAGTACATGGCCTATTATCAGCTTATGAATTTCTTATTGGTGCTAATACAAAAGTTTAGACTGCGTATTATATTATTTTCTCGGAGGTATTTTTCTAAGTATTGCATTGAAATGTAGAATCGGTAATAATTCAGATGAATACTAGTATCTTTCAGTGTGTGGTAACGTTTTTGTGAAGAATAAAACATGAAGTTCGCCCAAGATTCAAACAGTAACATTTAGACTTTTCGCTCCCGAAAAAACACAAGTTTCAAAAAAAAATGAAATTTAGTGTCTGTTTAACACGTGAATAGCTCATGACCATTTTAGTATCTGAAAGGTTACAACAACCTTCGAGTTAGAATTCGATTGTCCAATATTTTATTTAAGATGAGTAATCATGAGTAGACTAAATGAGATTTGGAAGACGCAATAGACTAAGACAGACAGGAATAACGTTCAAAATAGTATGTATGAAAATAGAAGTATACATTAGAGGATGATACTTACCATATTTCTTGATATGAGAAGGGTATTTGATTTGTCAGTCGAATGACATCGTGGCAATGTCTGACTGAAGGGGTTTCTGAACAAGTGTATTAGGATACTGAAATCACTGTACTCAAACCTACACCACCAAGTAAAGGCCTATGGAAAGCTGTTGTGTGGAATAAAGACATCCAGTCATTTCCGTCAGTATGTTTATTATCACCACTATTATTTTAATTCAGTGAAGGCATACCGATGAATATAATTCTGGTTAACTCTTATTTTTTTCTGATTATAGCTTGAAACCACACCGTATTTTTGCTACAAGTATGGAATTTTCAGCATGTGATATCGGTAGCCCAAATTTTGCTGGCCGACCATAGATATCAGGTGTGCATTGGCAGGGGATCGAACCTCGGACCATATGTATGGTCGGCGGAATCCTAGCCACTGTGCTTCAGGAAAAGTTGTTGGTGCTTTTAAATGTGTGGATGGCATCATGCTTTAGACTAAATATACTAGGGAAATGCAGTATTTTGAACACTATCTACAAATATCTGAGCATATTTGGCCTACAGTTCATCCCTATCGAATATTAGACACTGCATCGCAGATACGGTGAATACTAACCCAAATATAATGCTAGAAAAGTAGCCAAACCAAAACATCGTTTTAGTCGGTGTTATATTTGTCCACTGTTCTGAACCTGACTGAAGTCCAGCAAACTCTTTGCATCATGACGCAAAATCTTTAATTCCATTTGCAGTTAGCAATTTTCTCATAGCTGAGATTAACTGAAGTATTTCCAAAATTATTTTTGTCTTTAAGGATGCTGACAGCTTATATTGACTCACCAACTAAGAGGATATGTGCTGTGATAAACTTAAGAAAAGAAAGAGAGGTTTAAGTGATCACACGACATCAAAGACATGATCTTTTCTAAAACTGGCAACTTTCGAACTGAGATCTTTTTCAGCACATCCAGATTCGCATCAAGCTAAATACTACTGATTAATTGCGATGAGTAGTTGCATACCAGTTATATCAACCAGTAGTGCTTGCTAGCCAGTTTGAGGTGATCTAAACACCAGACGGCTCGTTCGGGGCTGTGCTCATCAGCGGTCCGAATCAGCTCAGACAGCCAAATCAGTTCAAACCACACCCGATTTCTGGCAGTCTAATTGTCTCTTAAACTATGTGAAACGATCATAAGGGAGCACTGCTTCCGTTCATAAAACAATAAATACTTATTATTACAGAGACGTAAGGTGATTTTTAGGCTTAATGTCTCTCAATCATCACCTGCAGCCTGTATTAAGCCGTATGCTTCAGACTGCCAAGACTGTTTAAGCCTCTGTCACCTCATTTCACCTAAATTATTGATTTCGTTCGTAGCAACATGAAATAATTAGTAATAATATCACGTTGCAAAAATTAAAGGCCAACAAAAAGTTGAACCACTTATGCGACATATGTTACATACTGTGTAAATTGGCCTTTGACCAGTAGATCCACTTTTATTTTTCAACTTGTTGCTGAGATTACTGTTCAGATGATTACTGTATTTTGGCAAAGGCGATACCATCATCCACTGTCCCAGATATTCTTGAAGTAAATTAGCAAGTCGACATTGTTGTTCTTGACTAAAATGAAAAATTTCAATTTTGGTATTTTTCAAAAATGAGAAATAAGATTAACTGCCATCTCTTCATAAGGAGAAAAGTAGTGAAAATACTTCACTTCATTTGCTAAAGATAAAACAAGTGAGTTGAATAGGAATTATTCGCTAAATATTATATCCACCTTGCAACTACAGACCTCTGTATGATTTTAAGTTGTCATTAACTGTTAGACTTTTTCCTGAATCAGAATTTTAATTTTTTTTTAAATGAAGTGACAGCTGTAAAATGAGTGTTCAGTTGTCAAACTACAGGCTTTTTTGATTTATATAATCAGTTGTGCCTCTGAATCTGAACATAAAAGGTTAGTTCTATTTCACTAAATGAAATTTCATTGGCAAATTATCGGTAGTTTGAATCGCTACATTCAGCTGTCGATTTGAAATAAGAGAAAAGGTTATGTATCATAGAATGATTAGTCTTGTCATTGACTGTAATCGTTATTTCTTATTCGGAACTCAGTAACTGGATGTATCTGAGTACCAGTAAGATCTAGTATTCTGTTTTAATAATAACTACAAAGTAGTGCCACTCAAATTTTGCTGTTAGGACTTATTGGAACGAAGTCAAAGTCACTTGCAGTTTATAGAAAGTTGCTTTTTTGTACCAAGAGAAGTAATTATTTGTAACATTTTCAAACGACAGGAGCACTTTAGACACTAAAAAAATGAGGATCTGTAGTTTGATTAAATTCCTTTTTAAACTACTCGTATCTTTCTCAAGAAATTTCCACCTAAAAATCTTATTAAGAAATGAAAAATATGTGTATTCAGTGGGTATATTGCTATTAATTATTTGTCTAAACTTTCATTCATTTTTGTCCATTAAATGTTGTGCTGCATATCAGCTGCTCTAATAACACTGTCAATACTCATAAGATTCAATTCTGAAAGTTGTGATGAAAAGCCAAAGTCATTCGCTTCGTAAGGAACACAAAAGACGCACTCCACGGTTCATATCTCTTTGACAGAGTTTTCTTTTTCAGTTCAGGCATGACTTTCACAGAAAAACTATCAGGATGATAAGCGAATGACAAATAATAGACGGAATTCCTCAATGAAAGAGTAGAATCCGGGACAAAATCCTGTATTATTTGTTTAATTTATATAACAAACAGTGATAAAGTATTAAAATCTGGACAGCATTTCGAGCAAAATTAATTACTAACCATGTAGTTTGCTTTGCCTTATTCCGCTTCTTTTTCTAATTCAATTTGCTACATATCTCAAATAGGTGCAAAAACATGGCATCAATCCATGAAATCCCTGACAGTTAAACTGAGTCAGGTAGGGAGATGCAGACTTCCGGGTTGGGACTCTAAGAATCAATGGCTGGAGACAATAGGTGACATGGCTCAAAATCGTTGTCGATGGCGCAGATATATTCAGTCTCTTTAACCTTCATATTCCTTTCTACCACTACTCATTCTGTTTCACTCTTATACTCATCTAAATTCTATTGATTCTCTTCTCTCATTTTCCTGTCTACCTTTGTGTGCTATTTGGAAGGTGGCAACTCGAACTGCTGCACTTCGGTGCCAAGTTCTATGTTGAAACCAGCAGCAGCAGCAGGTGCTGAGTAATTCCCATTAAATGCATTGGGTTCCCTGATAATTATGAGTTTTCAAAATGTTGCATTACCACTAAATATAATGGTAGAAGGCTTAAGTGCTGTAAACATGATGTCAGAAAGTTATGAGAAAAATATGTATCATTTTCGTCCACTAGAGGATGTTGTGGTCTGTTCAGGACTTTCATTACGACATTCATCGAATAACCGAAATAGGGTAGATGACTTTACACTTTTGTTTTATCTGCTAAGTTCACTCAAAACAACAGTTCAATTTTCTATAACTTAACGCTTCGTTTTGGTTATAATTTCTAACTAACTGATAATCGCATATAAAGAAATTTTTATTTTACTTACCTTAGGCCGTGCAAATTTAGAATGAGAATAAATGGAGAATCAGAAACAAGGAAGATATTTTCATTCAGTACTTGTAGGACGGACTAAAAAATAAATTAAGAGGTTGGAAAGATACAGAAGTCTTCGAACAGTAGGTAATAATTATGATATTATCATGTTAAGGAATATATACGAAGAGATTGTTGCGTTAACCTTTGTTTTAATGAAATTCGTGCTACAATAAGGAAGTCGTCTATTTAAAATGTAAAAACAAGATCATCTCAGGCAGACTGAATTACTCAAGCAAGAAAAGTGATCGAGATAAAAATTGTAATTTGAACCCTGTCAAGGTTGTCATTCTAGCAAATCACCTCGAATCCACTGAACTGTTATTTCACAAGTAAATTTCAACTTACCCCTTTAACTTAAGCGATGTTTCCACTACTGTCCCTCAAGTTTTAATATTACCATATGTATGATTTTCAGATTATATACTCCTCACCTAACTGGAATGTTTCTAGCGTCTGTGTCAGTAGCAGATTATAGGGCTGGACTGAAATATTTAATCCATTACTAATATTGAACGAACTTCCAAAGTTTGAACATTTTTCACGTGTTACAAACTTATGAGCAGACAATTGAAGCATACATATCAGACTCACATGCCTTGAAAAAGCATAGCGAACGAAGTGAGATACATGAAGGCGTATAAATAAAGTATCCTTTAAACAATTAAAAAGCGCTTACAACACTTGACTATTAGGCATAGATTGTTTTCTAGGTTAAATAAAGCCGAAAGAAGGAATAGATGGTCTGGAAATTTACTAATCAATTAAATGAAATACCTTTTTCTATATGCAACACATGCAACTTAGTTTGTGGTGTAACGGGGCGATAAAATGAAAGTTTGGTTTACGAAGGATGTTGGATGTGAAGAACACAAAAGCAATTAACCTTGGAGTAATAATTTCACCTGTTCTTTCCAAATCGACAGCTGTAAGCCCATAGATACTACATATTGTTTCTCCGGATACTTATTGAAACAGTTTTATTAGTTGGAGTTTTGCGTCAGCTTGTTTTAGCTTACTAAAGTCCTCAATATAATGACTACATTCAAAGAGATACTGTTTTAAATTTTCAGAAAATTTCATTTTATTCTGTAACATTACAAGGTAATCAGTAAGACAGAAGGAGATAGAATGAGAAAACCTATGAAAAATCAAAATGTTATTAAGTAGAATTATAAAGTATTTAATTGATAAAAACTCCAATCCAAAAACTTAGGTGGTGAAAACAGTTGGAATGCAAATATTACTTGTAATATATTCATTCTGTAAAGAGAACATGGACTGTGCTAGAATAGCTGAAGAAAGGCATATGAAAAAGCAAGCTTACACTTTTAGTAGAGAACAACATTAACTCACAGTGATAAGCAAGACTAAGGTGCCCATAAACTGATTAAACATTAATAATTCACGAGTTGAGATTATAACTGTGTATTTGTGTATAATCTTAGCATTTGACTGAAGCATAATTAAAAATCGATTAATTTGGGTTAATCCTCTAATACGTAGTTATTATAATTTTCCCTTTTAAATTCTTTTTTCTAATGTGTAATTTTTCTTTTATTCATCTTACTCTGCCTTTTGTTGGAGAGTTGCTTTTCTGAGTGTCCTACTCTTTCTGACTGACCTCTAATAAGTAGGTCAGTTCGAATTTGCCAAAAGCACTTTACCATTGCGGTTATCTTTTACGTTTATTTTGAAAATTTAAGATAAATGTCCGGCACTTTTATATATGAACTTTAAATTATTACATATAATACAAATGTGTTCAGGGGCTTTGACTAATTCACAACGATATAAGTATTAAACTTGGGCACTGTGGTAGAGCATAACTCCATTATGGATAAGATTTTATTTTGATAAATCTTATCCATAATGGAGTTAATTCACAACGAATTTTAACCCAATTGCATTGTCACTATTGGCCATCGACAGTCACAGGAAAATTGTATGAACTTGAATTTATTCTGGATTAAAACAAAAAGTGTTGATTTTTGGGTAGCAGGCTTATAAAAGCTGTTGAAAAAATATTGACATTTATGGGTTTTATAAAAACTATTAAAAATTACCTTCACTAATGCATATGGATGATTTTTGTGTAGAATGGATCTCATCAAGTTAAAAGAGTCTTGTGATGTTGTTTCCCTGAAACAAGTCGGTATTCTATTTTTGTTCATTGGTACCACGATTAATTCATTGGAGATATTCGCTTCAGTGCCAACTAGTCTGGACAAATGATGACAATCTAATATGAGTGCCCTTAAACATGAAGGAAAAGAGAGAGGAGTTATAGAAACTATAGATGTGACTTGCATGTTACATTTAAATAGTTTATTGAATAATAATGCCATGGAATGTCATGCATTTATGCAAATAATAACCTTTATTAGCTTACAATAGATGAATCATTAATAAATGACATTTATTCCAAGGTGAACAGTAAATTTATACTATTTTCTGAATATTTCAACACAAACTGATTCCATATTTTCAATATTCATCCGTTATACTTTCCTCCTGATAGTCAGAACAGTTATTTTAGATGGAGAGAATACGGAAGCGGCTTTAGGAACAAATGCTTGCGAACATCTATCAGTACAGTTGAATAAGGAAGTTACAGTTTGCTTAACCAATGCATTCTTTTTCCCGCTGAGTAAATTTATTTTCTGTGTAAAATTCCCATCATGAATTTCATATCTTAAGCCGTTATCCTCTCCTTCCACTTTATCTACTATACGGCATTGAAAAACTTACATTTTTGCGCACAGATGAAAAACAGTAGCTGTGTTATACAGTTACCGCCATTGTTTCATATATTCATTTGAAATTTCTCACGCTTCGTCATTCCATCCTTGTTTTCACTGAGTTTTCACACGATGTGAATATTGGCCACCGCTACATAACTATAACTTGTTGTAGAATGAACAAGCACGGATATAAATTCATGTTCCGACTGTTGTGTCATTTTCTATAAACTTTGTATACTCAAATTGAAATTTACTGTATCGTGCAATGAACTGTTAAGTAATTGTTATTTTACTTTCACATTTCGTTTCCACCGGAGTTATCTTCCACTTACGTACAGCAGTGACTGTTGTAAATTCGAAATGATTTTACTATGAGTCTCACCTTAACTTCTGCATTGACCCGGTCTCCGTGAATTTGTGGTTTTAAGTGTAATAAGTTATTCAGAACAGTTAGTTGTTCGTTGTAATCATACGTTTGCTGAAAATTTGTATATTTATTTTCAATATTTTAAGAATTATACGTCACTTTGCTGCTTACCAGTGTTTTTGTGTTATTGTTAGGCATGGTAATTCTTCAGTGTTCTTCAAGGTATGACCTTTGATGGTAACTGTATCATCACTAGGCCTGGCACTAAGGATGTCATCAACAACTTTCATTATCAGCCTGAGCTACAAATCTTTTCTGCCAAGTGTATGCGTGGAAAATTCATTGGGCGAACCTTACCAGAATTTATGAATAGATTCAGTACTACTTCTTCCTATTCATGTTACCCGTTCTAAAGTTTTCTTATTCACGTTAGCATGAAATGTATGTAGGGTAACTTTGGTTAGCCCTGTTAGAAAATGAAGTTTGTCTGGAAAGTGTTATGCATTTATGCTAAATATCTCAATAGTCTGATCGCAGATTTGATTCACTGCAAACCTTAAGCGCCACATTCTACATTGTATTGCAGTTGGCGTTAGTATGAATACGAATATAAAAGATAGATCAATTACGCTAATTAAGCAGAGACAATGGAACGAGTAACCGAATAAAGGCAAGCAGGTGGCAGATAACCATTTTCGTCTGTAAAATCTTATTGAAGTGAATTAAAGGTTCATTATCAAAATGTTTTTAGGGATTCTTTATAAACACAGTCAGACAATGCACACTGTGATACACTAGATCGATTGTTTTAGTTTGTACGAAAATTCACTAACCATTGCATCTAATCTAATTTAGCAGTCCAGATATTCATATAGTACTGAAATCGAAATCTCATTTTTCATATTATTATTTCCCTAATTTTGTGTTCTTCACATCTGACTGTCTTATCAGTGTTCTCGTATAACTGATTTTCCATTTTCTCTTCTTAATATTAGTTGACTTGTCATTTGAATTTGAGACTATACTGTTCTAAATGTATTTTGTAAGTGCATCACAGTTTTCGAAGAATTCAGTAACATAAAAATCTGTCCAAATTTATTTGGGCGACATTATACGTATGAAGTTTCAGCTTGCATCAAGTGACTTACCGAACTCCACAGAACAATGCTTGACGAATTGTTCTTAGTATATTGTTCGATTTAAAGTTGTGTGCTGCCGATGCACTCATTTCTCTGTGAAATTTAGCATTAAAGTATGCGACATCATTGTTTTGGATCATTTGATCAATATTATCAGTTTGTTTATGGATTCTGTTGATCAGATAGGCACTTTTAATATAATAGTGAGCCAATGGATGTTCCGATTCAAGTAAACCATACTTAAAAGACTCTGCTTCTGTTGGCGGTGAAACTGTCGACTGATCACACGAATGAGAAGGCACATTCGGACGAATACACAATTCTCGATAAGTGGAAGATAAAAGTAGTCTATAGAAGCCTTCGTTTGATAGTAGACCTGATAAACATAGAAGGAAAAAAAAATCAAATTTACGAGAATATACATTCTGAAGGAAAGTTGATTCACTGTGATGCATTTTTACAATTTGGAATCGATGAGAAAATCAAGTTATTTTTATTTATATCTGAATAATTTTGAACGCTACAAAATATACGTGTTGACCGTAAACGTAGAGTAGTTTCTTATTAGGAAACGTTACCTGCATAAAACTATCTGAAGAAAACAGAAAAACACCAACTGAGGCTTTATTTGGAATGGCATTCCATAGAAACGAAGAAAACTCACTGTTTTAAAAAGATAGATGTATATATATATACATCACATGTAACTATTTGTACAGAGGTTTATTTTAAATATGATAAGCACTGTTTGTGCATGTTTTCGGGCTCTTCTTATTGGCGCTGGTTAACATGATATCAGTGTTCCATGAATCTGAGTACCCTCAAATCAGTAATCAGTTCACTCAAGAGTGGACTGTTGGAAAAAGTCAGAAAGGGTCTCTAAACTGTGGTTTCGTACCACATTTAGAACTGTTTACTTCTACACCAGTTGGAATTTTCGAAGCTGTATTCACAACAGTCTATGGAGAAAATTTATTCCTATACCTGACATAAAAATCAGTAAATACGTATCAATTATAATGACTCTGAAAAGATTGCCAATCTTAAATAGCATAATATGGTGCAAAAGAGATGTCAGAATTAAATGTTAAATACAAAAATACCCGAAATCTATAATTTAGACATTAGCAAAGTGATTGTATATGATTAATTTTGTTTTATCCTACATTTATTAATCAAGCCAATGAACTGCCATACTATGCAGAAAAATTATGGAATAAGACCAAAGTTGGTTGTATGAAAAAACCTTACTGAAATCCTGTGAATGTATTAACCAACAAAGGAATTGTCAAGCACAGAAATACATAACTTTCGTTTCCGAGTTATGAGTGAACTCAGTTAGTAACCACTAGAAAACAAACAGTAAAGTTCCCGTAATGCTTGCAAAGACATCCCGCTACATGGAAGCAGGTGTATATAGCTAGCAGAAGTGAATTTTGTCGAATAATCATTCTAATCGTTAACCACTGATTTTGACAGTATAAGTTAGTGCAAATGCTCTGCACTTCTTGTTATTACGATAAGGACAGTTAACAATGATTTGTAGGTTTCAGCTTTACTGTTTAAGCTTCACTTTGATTAAAATGTCTGCAAATTATCCATAAGTTTAATTGGTCTTTTTTGCAAGTAAAGTGGATGCTAGATTTTGAGGACCACGCGTGGATCACTTTAAAAACGCAATGAACTATCTGACAATTGATTAAGTGATACATTTCCTTAACCTAATGATGATCTGTCTAATTTCAAAACATGACTTTGTTAGTAGAATGGAATGTGCAGAATGGCCATAGTAACCAGCATTTTATGAAGTACAAGTCATGCTTGTTATCAACTTTCGAAAGTAAACTGGTCATAATTTCTATATCTATTATCCTGTTTACTTCTATGCAGTGTAGCCTTTCAGAGTAACAGAAAAGCAAGTAATTTTTAAGTAGTGATTAAAAAAAGACAAATAGACGATGTAGTGAAATAATTTTTACTACTGTTTTCAGAAAGTTGACAGTTTCAAAATACTTCAGAAAAGACGAATGCCGATATAATAAAAAACGCCTCCTCAGGTAATTTCATTCAGAAGGCTTCTATTAAGTGAACATTCGCAAGAATCGAAAAATATCAACAAAGTGCCATATCAAGCAAGGATGTTCATACATCTAAGCGGTTATAGATGTATTCGTATTACGCCACAAGGTCTAACTGCTTTATTTTATTGTTGTCAACGATATCGAGATTCTTGCAGATTGTTCAAGTTCTTCATGTAGGCACAGTGTACCAATGCAATTCCTCCTTCAGTGTGCATTTATACAGATATAACTGAAGGAGGAGAGATAAACAAAAGAAATTTTAATCAAAATGGTATCTGTGAATAAGGCATTAAGAAGACAAATTTCGTGAGGTGATATCGTCATTTCGTAGTTTCTTTACAACCGCTTTACAACTAACATGGTTAACAATAATAAAATAAAGTTCATGACAATTACTCAGTTAAATAAAAACAAAAGTACATACTAATGACCAATCATATTTAAAAGGTCATGTAGTCCATGGTAGGCGAAGATAGAAGTCTATTGTTTTTTGTAAACACAGTTTAGGCTGTATGTGATTAATCCAAAGGGCTTCCATCACCTTCAATAACCTTGAATTAGAGTTATGTGAAATAATTGTGAAACAGTCATTCATATTGATTTGGTGACCTGATATTAATAAGTGTTTTGCAATGGATGATGCTGGATTTCTATTCAGATTACTGGCATTGGGATTTTCTATATGATTTAGTAGCCATTTTGGAACATGTTCTTTCCGACGACATTGGAACATTCTGTTGTTTCTACCTATATAGACGTCACCGTAACTGCAGGTGAACTTGTAGGTACAGTTTGAAGTAGAGTCCATGGAATTTCGTCCTTTAATCGTAGGCACAGGGATCGAAAATGTTCGGCAAGTGAGAAAAAGAGATGCGGCGTAGAATGTGCGTTTGATGGCTGACCGAAGTGTTTGAGCTGTCAACTGCATAATGTAGTCACCCTTGAATGGTGACCCAGATGGTGATCCGGAAAACTTTATCACTTGTCACAGTAAAGAAAGACCACATCTCGAAAAGACCGCTTTTGTTTTTATTTAACTGAGTAATTGTCATGAACTTTATTTTATTATTGTTAACCATGTTAGTTGTAAAGCGGTTGTAAAGAAACTACGAAATGACGATATCACCTCACGAAATTTGTCTTCTTAATGCCTTATTCAAATTTATCAAAGGGACTAATTGTTTTAATTTTCTCAAAATGGTATCTGTTTAAGGTAAGCATAATTCCTTTAGTTACCATTTTTTCCGTCTAATATACTGGAATCTCGTGTTTTTATCATAACGTCACGATTTAAGAGGATAATGAAAATTGTATTGCCCCTAAAATCTCTTTCAATATTACACAGCAAACAGAAGCAAATTAAAAACCATAAGAATAAGTAATTTTTCTCACACCATAAATTTTTGGATTTCTCCTCTGTTGGCTTTTAACATTAACATGAATGTTACTTCTGTAACACCGACTGTTTCCATAAGAACTAAGTACTATTCTAGCATTTTGTAATACTGAAAGTTCGTTCAATGAAGAAGTAAGCACTGAAAAATTTCAGAAAATATCACTGCAGTTGACGAAGAATAATACTTATTATACTCTATTCTTGAACAGAAGACCTGAAACATACTAAAAGGATATGATGTAGGACTGATAAGCAACTAATTTTCAGTCGTATCCTGAAATGAAATCTTAGGGACAGAAGTTTGAGCCAACATAAAACCATGATTAAGGATGCATACTACTTTAGTTAAAAATTGATATTGCGAGCTCCTATTTTGTTTGTGATATTTCTGTATTTTCTTCTGGGGAATATGAAGTTGAAGAATTCAGTGATGTTGAATAATTGGCCATACTCACTGAAGGAATTGGATCTCAGATAATTGTGGAGTATTGTAGTGGTCATTATCCTAGCATTCGAAATATACTCTGAATGACATTTATTCGTTCAGTTTAGCTTAGTCCTACTGACTTTTTCACACCAAAATTACTTTATTTCAACTCAATCTGTCATTGATTAACCTCGTGGTTGTTCTAAAAAGGTAGACTGCAAGTTTCCAAATATTATCTTCTATATTTTTCACGATTTGTCCTGCTCTATCCTTTTTGGTGAGTTCTTGAATTTTTAACTCACTCCTTTTCTTATAATCCAATTTTTCAAGCTTTTTTCTTCATCACATGACATGTGCACTACGTTGCATACTTATTATCGTTGATCATAATTCATTCAATTTGAGGCTAGTTTTAGCTGACAGAATGTTATAGAGTAAAGTGAAAGGATTTTACCCTAAGATTTAGTTATCATTGTTTTATGCAATATATTAAGATGAAATAGGTAACCTCTAAAATGAAACACTTGCTAACAATCCAGGAAGAATTTATTTATTTATAGATTGCATGAATAACCCTAACCTTCACGATGATAAATTTAGCGTGCAGTTCTAATCAAATTGGTACAGTTCATGAAGCTATGAAATAAGAAAATGACATTAGCCGCCTATGCTTACAATACTTATTTGATACCCATTTTTTTGAAAAACTGGTAATCTGTCAAATAAGTATTTGCTTAGATTCCCATAAGGTTCAGCGTTTATTCATGTCTCTGTCAATATTATAAACACATCTGAAGGCAACAATTTAAAGATAAACATTTGATATCACGCATAAAACAGATCTGAACGAAATGAGCCTTCACCGGTTAGTGCATGGGGCTTCATTAAACAGAGTAAGCTAGTTTAGTGATAAAGTAAGTGAATGCCAAGGCCTGCCTCCAAGACCCTTCTGATGTTTTGTTGAAGATTCCCTTAAAAGAATGTCATGTGTTATTAAGATGACAAAACTTTTCAAAATGTGTATAACGAAACCAGCTAATTGGATTAAGCAATAAATTTAATTTGTTACTGATCATATATATATAATTACTTTGAACAGCATAAACACTATTTATGTAGTGCTGGTCATATTGATTGTATTTTGTGGGCTACTTTTGTGATATCTCTTTGAGACATGTTAGTCAGACATTACTTAGATTATTTGCCATGTTGGATAAGTAGCTTACTGACTTGATCTTGAGTAAGATCTTACGAAAGTTCGGTGTTTGTCAATAGTTTTGCAGTTATTGCGCTGGGTAATTTTACTCTGAGAGAGGTGATAAAAGTAAGAAATTGTATTTGAAACAATATCTTACCAGAGTGCGAATTCTTGTCTTCTTACTTTGGGAATATACATAAATATATTTATGTGTATAGCATCATAATGTTTGTAGTGTTTAATTTCAAATAAAATAGATACAAACAAAGAGTAAAACACTTTTCAAGCTGATTAGTCAAAACTTACATTTACTAGCTGCATACTTATTAGTTTCATGATGCTGAATAATTTTGACAAACTCTTCCTCACTAACAATTACTGGAAGGCACTGACCTTTACTTTCTTCTACATCACTTTTGTCTTGATGCATTGGACTGGATGTCAGGGATAAAAATTCCTCTGGTGAATTTGGTGTGTACACTGCAGCACTAACATTGTCAGTGTGTTTTTGACTCTGATGTACACTACTTTTTTCAGTCGTATAACAGCTTCTCGAGCGTTTAAGACATGAAACATCCTGAAGTTTTTGTGATTTTGATTTCCGATTCAAAATTGTTTTTGCTGGGGTCGCTTCAGTGATATTATGTTGCGTCCGTTCCATATGCAGGTATTTAATATGCCTCAATGTTTTCTGTTTTTCATTTGTTCTTAAACCTCTTGAACTATGCACAGGAAAACTTGAATTTGCGAAATATGAAATACTCTGTTAAAAGGAGGGACAAATTGAATGTATATGAGCAAACAATACTCTAAACTCTGTGTAATGCAAACTGTCTTTCTTATTTAACTTTTTAGATATAAGGTAACTGGAACGTGATGTTAGATTTACTATGGTATTTTCTGGTGAAGATGTTCAAGGGACGAAACACATGATATAAATTTCTGCTTAATTTAAAACTTCCGTTATTTGATAGCTTTTCAAGGAATTAGTTATTTTACGACATAAAAGAAAATAATTCATCTTCATAGTATATTTAATGCTGTAATCTGTATGTTTAGGTTTTGTGTGTAGATACAGTCTGTCGATTAGTCCACTTTGCGAATTGTGACTAAACAACACCATGTGGTGCATTCGCTTCAGAAACTTCAAACAGTCTGGTCACATGTGTACTTCTCAGCAAATTCTCTTCAATTTCTTACTATTGTGAAATATATAATTTATTATTACAATAATAGTTACTTGCACTGCGGATACATTTTTACGTGGAATAATAGATTATTTATAAGATGATAGTATAAATAATATTTTGCTATGAAGGTGCTGAGCCAAATGTATTTACAAAATATTGTGAAACCTAAGACAATGATGGTGATCAGTTCTAAAGGATATTAATGCAATATAGGGAAAGAAAACTGGCGAGTCAGTTCACGGTTGTAAAACGTGTCAGGCGAGTGGCTAGTAGAAAATAGTATACATTAAAGGCGAGATAGCAAGACTGAAGTGAACTAGCTTGGTTCAGTAAAGGGGGAATCAAATGCATAAAAAGACTATTCTTGTTACACTTGGTGGATAGAGGACATCGCATCGATTCTAATAAAGCCTTCAGGGTTATATACCATATTCCCGAGTTATTATCACGCTCACTTCGCCACCGTCTTCTACATATAGCTGAAGCTGTTACAGTAAAATCAATTAAACTGGAACTTTTTACTAAAAAAGAACACGTTCGTGCGCTGTTCCTGCCGCAGCCAAACTTGGATTTAAGTTTCTTCACCCTTCAGAATTGACTTTCCCTCTTATCTCTTTTCCCTTACTTTTGTTTATTATTTCTTCTTTCCTTTTGACTTTGTTCTAACAGTTTTAACCACAACGTCTTAGAATTTATACCTTACATTCTTTTGATTGTTTCGGATTGTCGATTTATACTATTCTAACTTATTACAAGTGGTATCGTAATTGCATCAGCCCAGAACGCCTGTCACAAAACACTATTTATACTGTCATCCTATAACTAATCTGTTATTATATATATAAGTTTGAGAACCTGAACAGAATTGATTGAAAAGAATATTTTTCGCATTCAGTCTAACTTACAATTCATGATATGGGAATATTTAATACTCTTAACACTTGCATACTTGTCATATATGTGTGATACCAATAGAAGCTAAGGGGTGAGAGAATAAACGTAGGTTAAATTAAAAGGTTATGCTCAAGGTTAAAACCACAGTGGAGATAAATAAAAACAGAATAAATGAGGGAGAATAATAGTACAAAATTTATCAAAGAAGATTTAATGTGATGACAAAATGTTTGTGAAAAATTATATGTGACTTTAACTTCTCAATCGCTTTGGCTTCCACAAACCTTAGGATACGATCCCAATAAGTCTTCAGATGAATTATTTCTTATGACTGTTATTAGGAGCTAACCAACTTCTTGTACACTTAATGTCTATCTTAACAAATCTTCACCAGTCGTACTGCATTTGTTTTGAAACAGCATTAAATTAAGAATTCCTACTGAGACACCTAGCATTGCCCAATCTATGAAGATAAGTGAGAAACTTGATATAGTTGCTTAAATGGTTGCTTTTGGCTTATTCAAACTATACTCCTTCAAAATGACCAAGTTCTATTTTTTAATTTTTTTGATTACAGCTTGATGCCACACCGTATTTTTTGGTACAGGTATCGAATTTTCAGCATGGATATCGGAAGCCCAAATTTTGCAGGCCGACCATAGATATCGGGTGTGCATCGGCAGGGGATCGAACTCCGGACCATGTGCATGGTCGGCGAGAGTCCTAACCACTGTGCTACAGACGCACAGTGATGTATATGTAACCTACTAAAATTTAAAAAGATAAATCACACATAACAAATTATTGGGTTCTATAGAATGCTGCATTTTATTCTCATCAGTAATCATTTTAGTCGTGACAGTTACTTTAATTGAGAAAAATATTTTCTGTTATCACCGTTTAAAATAATGTCCTCTGCTGCTGACACAATTTAGACCCAGTCACTGTACAGGACATTGTGAGAAACGAATCTATTAGAACATAAAATTTAACACTGATTATACTTTTAGCGTTTAGTTATAATAGGCGAGATAAAATCCACTTTTGTCTCGTCTAAAGTATTTAAGCCTCGAAATTTCACCTTAGTTAAAATAATTACAATAATTTTGCAAGTCGATTAACTAACTCGAAATGGATGGAAAACAAATTACACTGTTTGAGACTGTTCCTCACACATTTAAGTCTTTTGATCAAAAACAATATCTACCGGAATTCTCGTAAAATGGAAAATTATTTGTACACTTGATAAAGTAATAAACTACATGCGTAACTCACAGTATGTAAAAATGAATTAAGCTCTTGGCAGTTCATGTATCCTTTGGATTTTGTACTGAAAAATATAAAAGATTTGCAGTTGATTTGAAAATTAAAGTTATCAAATGCACTTCTTGAAAACAGTGACCTTAGATAAACTTGTTATTATTTTGCTGTAGTTATTTCCACTCAATTCTGTTAATACTTGTGCCGTGTGCTATTTAGATGCAGGTTGATAGGAAGCGGCCAAAAACTAAAATCAAAATTTTAAGACATTGGCTACCTAGGCAAAAGTGCTTACTCCTCAAATCTGGATTTAGTTAACGTTGCAGTCTCGAAATGATCTCACTGAACAACTTACCGTCCCTTAGTTTAACCTTGAGCCAATCTCCAACCAACCGGAACAGTTTGTGGTCCGCTAACTAGCTGACCTTTAATACGGTTAAAAATGAATAATTAGGACGCGTTTTTCCTTGATAAAAGGTCTCTTAGCAGTTCTCTCATCTTCTGCAGCTACATGTAGTCTTAATAAAATGGCGACATTCTGGATGCTGTTTCAGTATTTAGTTTCAAGGAGAAATCAGTCTCCCCTGGGTGGATGTGACGAAATTATTAATAATTAACATATGTTATTGAATTGTGTGGTAGTTACCTGTTAGCTACTGAATATGCAGAAGTCGTCTAATGGAGTCTATTAAAAGATATCCCTATAGACTGCCATGCGAGCAAACTGTATGCAGTATAGCCTTATTATTTTGTAAAAAGGAACGACATTATCAAAAAAAAATTTTGGATATCACACCAAGGAATTAAAATAGTGGGTGATACGCAAATCTCAAATGCTGTTTTTACTTATACCACTGCATCTAAAAAATGGATATATTCTGTAAGTTTTGTAATGGAATAAATAACTAAGCTTAGCAGTTTTGTGATATGAAGAAGAATAAATAATTGTATAAATAATAGCGGAGATTAAGGGGATATTCAACTCCACTTCTGACTTAATTGAGAGATTGTCCTGTGAGTATAAGTCATTTTAAAGCATCACAACTTTATTTCACTTAGGACGTAACCATTAACATTTTCAAAATTCCTACTAATATTATTATCAGTCTGATCTTCCTATAGTCATCTTTAAAATAAGTGGTCTATAAGGAGTAAAAGAATTTGCGTAATAGGCAACAGTCACTACTCTTTCTTCAAGTAATGATTTAAGTGCAGGTGAGCCTTACAGCTGTTTTCTACTACTACTTGATGAAGTGCCGCAAAGCTGCAACTTCAGAATTTGATGAGATGTTTTATTTTGTATAAACAGATTTAGTTTCTCAGCTTTAAAAGAATACTGGTCAACTTATTAGCCTAATGTCGGCTTTGAGAATAGGTTGAAATGAAAGGTTAGTCTAGCTACTAAATCTTATGCATCAGCGCACACGTAGAATTTAGTGTACAAATGGTATAGTTTACAAGTTAATTTTTTATTATGAACTATTTAATTTAATCCCAGCGTGTTAAGAAAATCAAAACAAGATTTTTCTGAACGTTCCGCTGTGTAAGCCACAGATACTTCAGCAGATCTGCTGAATCAATCTGACTCGGCGCTCAAATTATTCCAGGAAGTTCGTAACATCTACGGCCTGGAAACCTATAATCCTAATTTTTTATTGCTAAGAGATAAATGAAGGGAGCTAAGAGACTTGAACAAACATTATTTCAATACAAGTTTGTATTAATTCCTAAAATTTGTTGGATGTAATCAAACGTGTATGAACATTTTTCATAGGTAATTGACAATTCAAAGGAAATAGGTATAATTAAATCAAAAAGAGACATGAAATAATCATTAAAACTGCTTACTGGGCAGAAAATAAGTCTGCGATATCTTCTCTAGGCCACAATTGAACAAACAAACTGAAGAAGTAATCAAATGTCAAATTTTCAAGTCTAATTTGTTGAGTCTAAAGGTTAAAAGATGAAAAAAAATTCTTTTGTAATTTTCGATTTCAGAGTGACACACAAATTTCTATTCATCCAAAGGTTCTTGCTTTAAATTCATATTTAATATCAGTCTGATTGGAGCAGTATATTAGTGTGCTTAAGTCCAAGAATACATCCAAATCATTTACTATACTGAGAGTAAAAGATATTACACAAAAAATTCCAGCGAGTGAAATTTAGATGGTAGAAATACACAAAGAAGTGCAGTGCTCTGGGTATAGTAATCAGCACAGGTATTATACAACAAATATGCTTAAAAGCTAGTTTTCATTGCAGCTAAGACACCATAGCAGTTGTAAATCAGCCTTTTAATTCCAATTTGAGAAGGCAGAAATAATATGAATCACCAAGAATATTTCTATTTGGGAAAGTAGTAATAGATGAGAAATAAGTGTTTTCACAAGAATCTCTATTTTTATCTTTTTATCTGAACAACGAATTGACATTTCCTCGTTAATTTAAATCACTAGAAATTCATCACTTTCCTTGTAGTAAGTTGCTTTATTCAAATTTCCACCAATATAAATTTTGATTAAATAGCAGGATATTACGTAGGCAAACGTACTAGAGAAAATGGTTATTCGAAAAAGTAACACATTAAAGTTAATTAGAATATTTTCAAGCGTTAAATTGGCCTAGAATATACACACCTTGAGGCTAAGGTTAAACAGAGAATTATAGGCAAATAATCAATAGTTTACAGAAAATAGAATTGATGGTCCTTAAGAATGTAGAAGTGACAGTTTAAGCGAATAAGTATAAGCTTGCAATCAGTCCGTTTTGTTTTCAAGAGAATAAACTTTAAGTATATAGTATACAGACATCTATAATCGAACTACTCCCGCATATTTCAAGGCTTTCATACAAACACTGTATTTTTAGTTATTTGTTTCTAAGTTAATTTGCATTTCCCTCTGACTGATAACTTTTGGCCGGAATGCTTGGTCTCTGTTGACATGTTGATTTATCAAAGGAAAGAAATTATCATAATAACCCTTGGGTATCATGGAAGAGTCCGTACTTGGAGTCAACATGACAATAGAGACTAAGCATTTTTTCATCATCCAGTATCAAAACAGTGGAGGAGACTGATCGTAGAACCACTAAGTAACTTAGTCTATTTATTTTATTATACGTTCCGTTGGTAAATTTTGATCAGCAGTTATCAATAGACATGTGCGGTAGCTTCTATCAGGCGGTTGTTTCACGGAAATAACTCACTTCTCTGTGGAGACCAGTCAAGCCTTGACTAGACTAGTAGTAAGGCTTTGTATATTGACACAACGGTGAAGGTTTCTGAATTCATGGAAGGTATCACGAAGCATGAATCCTGAACCTGCTGTTCCTTTACATTAAGTCTTCTTTATATATTGGACGAAAGGATTCGTTCTTTCATCTTTCTGTGATCAATCTCAGTTTATGTTGCAGTCGGTGTTGAAGATGAACACATCATATCTTTGGAATTGGTTTGTTATTTTAATTTGGGCACGTTTAGCTCATTATCAACTTGAAAATTAGTTATTAATCTCCAGGAGGTTGACATATCAAAATATTAATCTGTATTAAGGGACATAAAATAAAGTGAGAATGCTTGCCACTTATTTTAGAACTACAGAACGTTTGCACATATCAGACACCAATTATGTTTACTTGGGAAATTTTGACACCTTATTTTTAAAAGTATAGATATAACGTTTTGCTTGACTTACTTCGTTGTTTTCATCCGAATAGTAATTGCCGTCGTATTTTTTATTTACAGAATAACTTGTCTGTCTGTAACCAGAATTCCCTTCGATACCTAGTGCTGCTGTAAGACAACAGTCTGGAACTGTCCTCTGACTGTTACAACTTGTCTGTTCATCTTTACAAGGTGACAGTTTTGAACACACAAGTATCAAATGAGTCCATCTGTAAATAAAAAGAACAGGCATAATGATTCGCTATGTTATGTATCTATATAAGAAAAAGGATACTCGAAAATATCTTTGCTATTACTCTTTTCCTAATTTTTATAAGATTTTAAGTTTTCAGACCGTAGATGTTACGAATTTCCTGGAATAATTTTAGCGTCGAGTCAGATTGATTCATTATAAATTATTTAAAATAGTCCCAGCATGTTTAAGAAAAAAAATCTTGTTTTGTTTTTTTCTTAAACACGCTGGGTTTATTTTAGCTAATTTATAATAACTCTTTTCCTAATGTTTAGGTTATTAATATTTCAATAAAACATTTTTTTTAGGATACTCTTGTAGTTGTCTTACAGAAATAGTCTCTGAATTGCTGCAATTTTGTTATGTTTTTAATCTCGCCAAGTGAAACGACACGCATACCATGTATTTAACTTCATTTTAGATTGTAATGTCACCACCTGTATCATAAATTTGACCAGACGTGTGTGTAAGTCAATTTGCACACAGTTAATTTCAAGAAACATTAGGCAGGCGGTATATATGCATGTATATATATATATGTATATATATAATTAAATCTATTCGGCATTTGTCACAGACTATTTGGAATTGGTTCTTACAGAAATGTATTCAGCAGCATAACTGGTTGGCTAAATTTACAAAATTGCGTATTATGAAATAAAAATATTCATTTTTGTCAGACCGAAAAGAATAAGATTTGATATATGAAATGCATGTTTTCTTATTTAGTTGATCCTATTCATATTTTAGGCTGTCTTCAGCCATAGAGAAACCTTCAAATAAAATTTCGATATTTTGTATCACGAATCTTGTTTGTCTTGCAAGTACAAAAATGATTAAGGGGACACATTTTATGGAAAACTTGCATATTTGACAGTAGTCTGTTTGAAAGGCTGACACCATTTCAAGATTCGACTTTCAAGCAAAATAACTTCTAAATCTCTTTTCTCTTAAAGTAATACCCTTTTTAGTTTACTTTAATCTTTTGTATTATAACGATTCACTAGTTCAGCTAAAAGAACTGGAACTGCATAAATTAGATGAAATTAAAAATCATATATCCAGATGAGACATTCAGATATGATAGGTTACTTACTGTTTCCAGAGTAATTCCAGAGGTGCCAGAGTGATGCGCGCTGTATAGTGGGTGAATACTAACCGAAGTAGAGCATTTTTCCATGACTTAGAAAATAAAAAGAAGTGAAATGAGTTTGACTTCCAGTTAGTACTGAACTAGAAACAAATCGTCTAATTTATTTATTTTCGTAATGAGTGAATAATTGCCTCCATAAAATACTTTTCTCGTCTGAATTTGCTAAATATTCAAATACTGTTTCTGGTGAATCTTCTCTGAAATCATTATTTAAAGGATGTCGTGAAAAACTGCGTAAAAACCTGAAGGAGATAAACTACTGTAATTGATGACAAAATAGTTTATACGAGTAGCTTTCAAAATAATGTTAGTTGTTGCTTTACTTGGTTAATTCTCACCAATTTAGGTTAACATCTCAGTGCATCTGTTTGAATGCGGAATTTTATTGTGAATACAGTAAGAAATATCAACTTATAGTGGAGATGATCTGAAACAATGCTAGCAGGTAGTCAAGTACAACCTGTTAAAAGATTTACAAAAATAGACTATTGATATATCTATCATTCTGCCCAACTGACTACAACAGTTACTGTCACTAAAAGGACTAAGTATATTCTTGCAAGAACGCTTGTTGTACACTTAACAGCTATGCATAACAACCGAGCTGCTTAGACTTATTGGGAGACTTCTTTGATGGCGATTACTTATCACTGAACACAACAGATGTTGTTTCAGCTAGTAGAACACTACATATCTAATTATGGGATTGAATTCCATTAGCCTGAAAAACTGCATTTCCTGAAAATTAAAGTTTTACTAATTCTAGCTGGAAACTGTATGCGCCAATTTAAGGCTGTAAGTTAAACTAAGAAAGAGAAAAAATATTTGTGCGATTCCATTATATTGTTTAAAGTTGAAATTTCCACTTCGTTGTTGTACTTAATAAGACTTTATATCTGGTCAGATTAGGGATAGATATTATGAATAGAAAGCTCAGGAATTTTAATTAGGTTTTTTTAGAGGACTAGACAAAGTTGTGGAGTATGTATATATATAAAAGTATTGAATTTGTGAAGATTTCAAGGCAAATTTCGTCACGTCTTATTTGCCCGCTGCTTTATTAAAATATTTTACAAATAAAATAAAAACATCTATAGACCTTCTTAATTTGATAAACAAATCTAAAGCATACTGTTTTTCTTGACTTTATTATGAAGATTTAACTCCTAGCTTTGTCGATTTTTGCTTATTGAAATGAATCGACATGAAACAACGAAGTTCAGGTTACTAGATTGTATTTCCATCCTAATTCCGATTTTAAGATGCTGTCATTTTAATATTCGTCGGAAAAGTAAGTTGTAATCACATAGAGGCTGATGAACTTGCCAGTGTTGAAATTTGCACAAATGCCTAACAGTTCAAGTAATCTCACTTCAGGAAAGTACAGATAACAGTAGAGGAGACTGATAGAATGAAATTATAATTGAAGAAATTGCACAGGACAGGGAGTAGTTAGATGAAAACCAGTGAGCGTTTTCAGAGCCTGCAAGATGAAAAAAAGTAAATACATCTGCGCCACCACTAACGATTTTTAGCCAATTATTTAAAAGTTTTTTACCATTGGTTCTGTGCAGCCCAAGAGTCGAAGACTCCATGGTTTAGTCTGACTACACCTAACTGTCTTCCAAACTAATCCGACTGCAGTCAACTACTCAAGCCAAGGAAGATGGTGATATGTTGTTTGTGATATAATGACCTCTACAGTTTCATTGATTACCTCCCTTTCCTTGCCTAGCAATATATCCGTTACTCCGTTATTGCTCACCTAACACGAAAGAATGGATGGTGAGTCAAGCGCTGTTATCCTCTTTATATCTTCTACTTTTAACGACCATTTTAAACAGCCGTAAATTAGGACCCATTTTTTGCAACCAAAGAAAGACGTCATGAGAAAACTGACTTGAACTATTACAATCGACAAAAAGTTATGTCATATTGAGCATTTGTAATTGGTTGTTCGCTATCAACGAAAATGTCATCAAATTACAAAATTAACATCTGGTTGATAAGTGTGTGAGATTTTCGTTCCGAAGTCATTGAAATCGGTGTCGCTTGCATAGTGGGCTTAAAAAGTGGTCTTTTAAGCAACAAGAAATCCTGAATGACTGTGAATTCACCCCCTCTGACACATCTTTCAAAGATTGGATAACGTTACATAATCATTTTGTCGCTAGACTTTCACACATGCACCATTTAATTCTGTAAGTATAAACTGAGTAGTTTGGTGGTACTGGTTTCATTGATAGCAATCGCAAAGAGAAAATTTATTCCTCCAGAATTATCTTAATAATATATATTCATGCGGATTAATCAGTTATCAACATTCACTGAAAGATTTATCAACAATTATAGTATTTTATGAAATGCTTTAAAAGAAGATTGCAAATACGCTGTCTTACACCGAGTAACTGAATATGCGAACAAATAAATTTTGTGCCATTTCTGTAGTGACTTCGTTTTTTTCCCCAAATGGAGCCACCTATTTGTGTTTAATCCCTGTTTTGGTGTATGTTCAAGATGAATTTATTTAAAATAATTTGAAAGATTTGTTGGTTTCACATACAACGTTATCAGTTCAAAAAATTTAAATTCTAAAATTTTAGATTATAATCGCAATGCTACATACCACTAAGTTTGTAATGCATTCACTTAAAAATGACTAAATCTGTTAGCCAAACCTGAGTGACTTTTTTACTGCGTGGGTTTTCCTTTTTGGAGGATTAGTACATTTTGTTCTCCTGTGTATTTTGAATTTGTTTTTCTGACTCACAACTAGTGAATGCTAATCCAACATCATCCTCATCACTGTGACAAATGGAGAGTTTCAGTCTATGCATTGTTGATAAGACTAGACAAAAATACTTAATTTTATTGTTCCCAATAAGATATTTATATGTTTATCTGCGTGAATGTGTTTAGCAGTATCCAACTCTTCACTTGTCAATTTAGTGATCAATAAATTTTTAATCGGCTATTAGACAAAAGTTTAGCAAATAGCTTAACTCTACTAGTTGAAAAAATTTGAAAAATAATGTGTACAGAATTAAGTGGGTTTTATCAGCAGCAATTTTGATTTTATGTGTGTTAGTTAGGAGTTTAATTCACAGCAAACATATCAACTAAGATTATTCTTCCATTTCTCTCAGTTTGCATTTACCAGTAGATTCAGCATATTCATGCATATACGTTTTAAGTGATAAAGTGGAATGTTCGATGTTGAAGCACATACACTTCATAGAAGAATATTTAAGGAACCCATTTCAAGCGAAACATATTGCCTCATCAGGCTGTACGAGTGTGTATGGTGCTTATTTAATACAGACAGTATTCACCTGTCAGAGGAAAGTTTAACTTTCTGGTACTATTATTCAGCAAGTAATAAAAACGTTTAAGATAGATCTAGAAGATCTAAATGCCATTAAGACAGAAAACATAAGGTCTTTCATTGTCACTAATTCTTTCTGTGTATGGATTTCCATTGATGTATCTTACGAATTCTGAAACTTATCCACTTGCACTAATTCTAAATTGAAAAAAATTAGTGCATTGATGAAGCTCGAAAATATACAAATTAGACAGTGAAGAATGATTACAGCGATTTTAAGGTGCTTGTAATCAACCAGTGGAATTTATTAACTGGAGTTTATGGTGTGAAAGTAAAATATTGATGAGTCAGAAGTTCACTTGACAGAAATAGGTGTATCAGTGCTTTATTGTTAAAAAGTTTTGTGTTCGAACCTGTTATTTTTTTACACTGGAATTACTTGAATGTGCTGTAAACTGTTTTAATTGTCACTGTTAGGAGGAAATTATTTCCGTTTATTCATTTTATGCAAACTCGACGAAGGAATTCTCTTCCTTGTAAAAATTTGCGTCTTATATAAATCTCAGAGTTTAAACATCACATATATTTATTCTTCATGGATATATTTGTCTACAATATAATACAAAAAGCATTCAGTGGAAAATTAAAACGAGAGTATTTTTCATTAGATAATTTTATCAGGCTGGTTGTTTCTTAGTGAGAAATAGATGATAACTACTAAACAAATCTTTAATAAATGTTCTTCCAGAGCTTATGAAAGATAAAAAAAATTCAAAAGGTCGTTAATTTCTAGTTTGATACATTGATATTAGCTGTTACTTACTTCTAATACAATCAAATCCTCACAAACCAATAACAATGTAATACTTGGATGTTCCAGTTTATATAGAGTTTCAAGAAGATTACTATCTCCAGACACAACTATTCCTTCTACAGAAATTTGAAGACGTAGTGATTTGTTATCTTTTGTCTGAGGCAGCTGGTTGAAGAAAAGAACAACAAAGATATATTTTACATCTGGTTATATGGAGACGATGCATAATGAAGAATTCATTGTAATTGTACGCATAAAAATGTAATGACATATTAATAATAGGAGAAATGATATTTTCTAGTGGAAAAGTGCATTTTAATGTGACATAAATAACAATGTGAAAGTTGGTAACAACCAATTTCACGCTAGTGTAGGCGAATTCATTCAATAAGGCATGTGCTGAGAAATAGTTTTTGTCTTAAATATGGAAAAACTGTTTGTCTTTTTTATGTGGTGCAAAGTAACAAGAAAGAAACACAAACTGCAAAGACCATTGTCTATCTTCATATTTCTTTCTTTATGAAAACAAAATTAATTTTCAATCATATGAATAGTATAGAGAATATCTGAAAATGGGTCTATGTGCTCAAAATGAAACAAGGTATTCACTTGACTTACTGTCGGTACAGACAGTTAGGTTTAGTTCTCGTAAATCATTATCATTTAAGTTATGGTCATAGTCAGTTAAGTTGTTGTTGACATTCTTTTTGCAAGTAATCGTAAACCATAAAAACCGACTAAACGAACTGCAACTTAATTGTCTAACTTGATGATTAATTGTTAGGCGAGGCTGTATCTTAAATTAAACATTTTCATGATAATAAAATATGAAAGAAAAAACAACTACTTACTTCACTGTTGTGCGTACAGATTTCAATATCTTCGACATGCATCAGATCCAATGTACAGACCGACTGTTTTGAAATAAAAGTAAAGTGAACTGAGTGGGAATAATGATATTTTATAAATGTATTACAAAGATAGCCTATAGTGACTTTTGAAGGTTGTTTTTAACAAAACGTATGTCATAATTTCAGAATGTAAGCCAAGCACGGACGTGGTCCAAAGTTTGATCCCCGGCCGACGCACCCCTAACTTGAGAAGTCAGTAGGAACCTCTATAAAGAGGGAAGGCTGGGCGTGAAGCTAGGAGACCTATTCTGTAAAAAAATTAACGCTACTGTTGTTGAAATTTCAAAGTTTAGTGTTTGTAGCACCATGTTCCACTTGGTACGTAAGAGAATTGAAAAATGTCATAATTTGATATAGAACTAGCAGAAGGTTTATTTTTTGTTGAATATACAACGGATCCTTACCTCAAGGTGAGTAAACATTTAGCTTGATGCTATTGTAAATCTCAGCAATTTTAGATGATAGTCTTGGCATAAATTTAGATTTTGAATCAATGCTCATACAAGCAGCTTTTTTAAACTCAAACCACTTAACAGTTAACAGAATCAAATGTTTTGGAGATGGGGTTACACATAGACTTATTGCTGTATTCATCCATGTGTGTGAGATTTAAGGATAACTGCGTGGGTGGCACAGTGGTTAGGACTGTCGCCGACCATGTACATGGTCCGGGGTTCGATCCCCTGCCAACGCACACCCGATATCTATGGTCGGCCTGCAAAATTTGGGCTACCGATATCCATGCTGAAAATTCCATACTTGTACTGAAAATATGGTGTGGCATCAAGCTGTAATCAAAATAATAATCATAATAAATTCCCTTACTTCTAATATTCTGAAAACGAAATAAGGCCAAAGAACTGTAACACAGAAATTGCTTCTTAGTTTGAAGATGCTTGAGAAGTCATTTTTATTCTCAGTAGATGTTTGCTACTCATTATCAGTCTTCCTCTGGTAAAGAAAAATAAATTTCCTTATAGCTTGATGAATATGAATATCATTTTCCGCGTAATATTTACCGGTTTGAATTCTGCTTTGAGATGTTTTCACCAGCAATTCTTAAATCTTATTGATTGAAATTCTAAAATTACGCGTCGACCAACATTTTTCACTAGGCGAAGAATTAAGTCGCCAGTTATTGCTTAAATTTATGTGAATAAACAATTCAGTAATAAATAACTTGCAATTTTGTTGTTGCTTACAAAGGCTGAATAAGTACTCTTGAAAGATACTTCACTTCTAATTTAATTAGATTTTGGTTATTGATAAAATTTATGACTTAATGGACATAAAATACAGAGACCACCTACCTGTTGTTCTACAAAATTCCAGTAAATAAAATATCCCCACAAATCAATTTGTACGAGTACCTTTTGTTTGGTCATTTGTATAAGAGAATTTTCTGTTTCCTGTGAGATAAATAGTAAAAATAAGTATAATGTTGTGTATTCAGTGTATTCGAATGCATAAGACTTTCAAGATACTCCGTTGAATGTCTCTCATAAATATGACATTGGATTTTGTTTCGAAAACAAATATGCACTTTTTTCCCATTGTAAGTACATCATAATACACTGTTAGCATCTCAAATAGAAGGCTACAATTCAGTTTGTAGGCTGTTCCTTAATTCATTTTTGAAAGTCTCAGTTATTTCAGAATGTTGGCAGAGAATGAGGAATACTGACGATTGAGAAAAAAATGATCAAAGAGTGTTTATTTTGGTAGTTGGTTATCATTGCGTTACACGGTATTGTCAAATTTAGAATCGTCTGAACACTGAGTAGTGATCAACGCTTGCTCTTTGTTGCATTATTTGACTGTCAAGGTCAGATTGTGAGTAAGTTTACTGAGTGTTTTCAGGTCTTTTCGGAAGTGTTATTCGCAGTGTATTTACTCCTTCGGTAAATTGAACTATTTTTATATTTGATCAGTTATTTTTCTTTCTAAAATGCTTGAAGTGTGTAGATAAGTAGCTGACTTCGTTTTCAGTATAAGGTTACAGTTTACCCAATTAAAAAGCTTAAAAATTTTTTTCCTAGAGGACGCTTAATGGAATGCAAACACTTGAGAATAACTGTAAGGCTTCTTCACTGCTACACGTCTACTGAAATATATTTGAACCTCAAAAATTCCCCAACGTATATATTGTTCACAATAAAGAAAATGAATTAATACCGTAAAATGTATTAGTTCTGCCTTCAAACAGTAGTGCAGGATTGCTGAATGAAAGAATTTTGGTAGGGATAATTTACTTTCATCAAATGTTCAGTCAAAGTTATGGCAAGCTGTTTTTCCAACTGAAAATTGTTTTTGGCATAATAACCTTGACTTATTTTCCCTTATTGTTCATTCATTTATTGATTTGTTTGGTAAATGTCATAACACAGATGTGTTTCTTAGCAAAATGCTGTAATCAACAATCCCACATAATCCATGAGTCTAATCTGATAAACAGGGTGCACGTTACAGTGCATTTTCTATATGCTCATATATAGTCAATGTCACAAAATATTTATTAACTTCCTTTACTGTTGTAAGCAGAAACACAAACAGCTGTCATACAAACTAATTACAATTCACGGTAGAGGGATTATTTTTGTTTATCACTTTACACCTATTTGCATTTCACTTTATGTGTTCACGACTGCTCAACTTCTTGATTATTCATTCTTCTTCATCCTTAAGCAATGAACAAACGTGAAAGTATGAGGTAGAGCGATATAACTTTATGTATTTTGCTATACTGTTGAGCGAACATCAATCATTTTGCTTACTTCTTTGTAAATAAAGAAGAACAGTAATATAAAATTTGTTTTTAAGTCTGTTTTAAGAAAAGAATTATGAAGTTTAAAATCCCTATATATTAAAATTAATAAAAGATAGTTGTCGTTTTCCACGTTGTTTAAATTGCTCGGTATTCTCTTCACTTTGAAAATAAAGTGGGTAAAAATATGTTTGAACAATACAGAAGCGTCATACAACACGCAGTATTCAACATTTATTTTGTTTAATTAGACATATCGTGTTCTATCGATCTAAATAAATATTTAAAGAGCAAATACATTTTTTGTGCCAAATAAGTCAAAGTTACTTTACGGAAACGATGTGATGTGAAATATTCAGTTCTCATGGTTTTCACCAGGGTTTATATACTCCTGAGGGAATGAAGACTAGTATAACCTATCCTTTGACTAATGATATAAAATGATTACTGGCGGAATGAGCTTTCCCGCTCCATTCCGCTTAAGCGTATATTCATTAATTTGGATATTTTCTTTGTCATTTTTAACTATTAATCGTTGTTCAGTACCATCTATATGCCGGCAATATGAACTTTCCGCCTGCTTGCTTAAAAATTTCACATATGCTTAATATAATTAATTAAGCCTTGTACTTCCGGATGTTTGGTTTTCTATTTTCTGTGGACTGAGTACGTAGGTCTAACAGGATGGCGGAGACGTTGAAAATGATATGCAGGGGAAATCAAGCATGTACACCAGCAAACTCACCAAATTGTTTATAAGTTTTAATTCATTACTTAATTTCGGAACATTTATGCATGTCAGGAATGCTTTTGGACGACAGTATGTCGACAGATCAACAACTATCATAAATGAAGTTACGTTAAGAAATAATTCTATTGAGGAAGATACCCATAATTTTTTATGTATGCTAATAGAGCATAATGTGGGTAATGTGGCAAAGTTATCAACCATGCTTTCTTTTTGCTGTAGTGGAAGTAGTGTACTAAATACAACAGAAATGTTTGATAAGTGATGGTCAAACATGGTGTCTTGATATACTCTATTTTATCGTATGGTGCTGCACATTTCCAAGTCCTTGTTATTACCCATTAGATTAATATTCTGAGACAAAACCTAGTGCCTGCTACCTGTTATCTTCACAAGAGAATATCAAAAATGATTGCTTTCAGTTGAAGTACGCCGTCTTCAGTTGTTGGTGAAATTAAACTGGTGAATCAACTTCACTAGATGTGCAGTATGAAATTTTATAAATCACTTTTGTCATTTTCAGAAAGCATCATGAATACTTCACAGCATACTAATAGGCTTTTAATCTAAAATGAAATTAGAAGTTACTGTTTCACGCATGACATGACTATCCATTAAATGAAATCCTTAAGCATTACATTTCGTATTTAAAGTCGACTTCTTCATTTATTTTACTTCATAAAACTGCAAATTAAGTAGCTGCAAGTCAGAATTACGATAACTCTTCAAAGAAGTGTGTGATGAATTCGCAAATTTAATGAACTACAGTCATTCATGAATAATAAGTCAATATTTTTTCATCAATCATACGCATTACATGAAAGAAACAGTGTACTTAGACGTTGAGAGACGTCTGTGTTATATCATTGCTCATCAATCAGTATTCTATAATTCTCCAAAAATAATTATTAAGCTGGCTTTGCCATTTCTAGTCATCTACATAGGCATACATATGCGGCAGCTTTTAAAAAAGTGTTAATAACCTAAAGTCCCAAGTATTTTGAGATTTTTGTGATTCAACCATATAATAACCCTGGTCAGTTCACAGGTTTCTGTGATTAGATATATTTTGTGAATTGAGGCTAGTCACTGTGATTATGTCTCTAGAACGCGTGAATCGGCGAACAATTTACAGATAGTTTACTCATTTGTGCAGAAATTATTATGTTCTTAATAAACGTAGATGTCACAAATTATCAAATAAATCCTATAATTAGCATTGCTTTCATTGAAAATGCAGAGTTATTTTCTCTGGCGAACCGAAACGTGTAAAAGGCGAGGTCATTTTCAATGGTTTTTTTTTCAATTTTAAGTATATTGCTTCTCAGTTAAAGCTAATGGGAAGTTATGGGCATTTTAATTTTGAGTGAATTCACCATAGTGCAATCAACTAACCTGTAAGTAAATGAAGAACTCTTCCCCATCAGTTAATAGGCAGGGCACTGGTAACCAAGGCAACTGGGGTTCACTATGTGAGTTTTGAATATATTTGCTCAGCATTTCCATATGGATCAGACTTCATTTTATTTCATTATTGAGATTCACAGTCATTTTGCCTTTTTCTTTTGACTAGAAATCAATCAAAAACAGAGTTTTATTTTTAGGTGTCTGAAAAATGTAAAATACTCAAATCAAGTTCAATAAACACAAAATGATCATCAAAATATGACTTTAACTGTAACTTTACCTTGGAGCAGAAGAAATATATTAGCCGAACATATGAACCACATTTCAGAATTGACACATTTACCTTTGTGAAAACTTGTGTTCCTCTACGGTATCTATTTTATTTTTACAAATTACATTTGACAGTTATAAATTACGACTTTAGTTGCATAGATTCTATCTGGTCTTCTATACTGAAAACTCTGTAGCATGTTACTTTCTTAGTGGAGAATAAACCTCACAGTTTCTGTGAAGGAAATTGTTGCGCTAAATAGTTAGGCATGCATGGCATGTGCAATGATTCCAGCAAAATATAGTTAAGATGTTTTTAGATTTCGCTTCAAAATATCAAACCTTATATGTATGTTTCTATTGTTACCGTTTCCTTGCAAATTTTATTTCCGTTTATTGATAGATCACGTATGGTATCCTTACAAGATTCTTATAACCACTGTTCACGGTGGGTGCGTAATATGTCATTCAAATTAGTCTACAAGGTACGTATAAATTTAGTTGCCAAATAAATTACCCATTTCGTTAATTTCTATGAAACTGAGGTGACCATACAAGATAAATACGTGGCTAGTATTTTGTTTGGGAATTCCATTACACGCATTGCTTTTTCTCCCAAGAGAGTCATTCCGTTATTTAATGAATACGGCACCAACTCAGGTCATCACATCAACAAGTACTAACACGGTAACAAAATGTTTTATTCGTTTATAATTAACCATCGTTTAATATATCATCATGCAGGGCCATTTTATCTACTTATTAATGTTGATTGCCTATAGGACATAATTCTACAAGTTGGAATGTTTAATTCAAACAGTGGGCTGTAGTGGCACTCTTAAAGTTTTGTCGGTGTATGAAAAAAGAATAACGAAGAAGCAAAGAAGTAAAGTAAAAACATGTTCATTTTATTGAACTTTAAATTGACAGGGTCATGTTTCCTACTTTACCTGGTCTTCTCCAAGTCAATACCAGTGCTAATGAAGTCCTAATGAAATAAGTCATTACGTTATGCGTGCTAGAAAGTCTTAGATATATCATTTTATTAGTACAATATCCATCCAAAAAGTTTCATGTTCATATACGATTTTAGATTTATAAGGAGTATACTACTATCAAATTGCAGTTGATCGTACTGAGGTCTAATAACCTACATTTAGCACAGACAAAAATCTATTAATTGGACGAGATGTGACTTAACAGTGTTAAAATATCTCTCACATACCCGGCGTTGTATAACTGGACAACTAATTGTACTTAAAGCTTACATATGGCGCCATTAAAAACCTTAGACCTCTGAAGTAACTTGACATTCAAACCATTTGTTGATGTCTTTACTTATAGACGCCATATTATCAACCTTTGTAACTAAAATATAATGTAATAAAGTAGCATGAAATTTCATTTAAGTGCAATAGAGACATTTAGTTTGTTTCACTTGTTCTCAGTATTTCGAGTGTAACGTAGGGCTTCGGCAGTTGAAGTTTCACTTGCGATGATATTTATATGGGATAAGACTGCTAGCATCCCGCCCAACTTCCCAACGTTTCCGGTGAATCAACTGAGAATCTAACGTGGACCTCCTGCGTGGTTGGTGGTAATTCCAACATTGAACCGTCAACACTTATGAATATTGTGATTCTTCAATAAGATTATTATATTATTTCGTTTCCTATAATATATTCCTTAGTGAACATCAATATGGTAACAACTAGCATGTGATCAAACTTGGGTTAAGTCCTCCAAATAATGGTGTAATTTTCATTGTTTGCAGATTGTAAGCTTCTAGATATTGAATAATGTTCTTTCTCTTAGAGCGATATTTATCGTTAATTACTTTAAACCATTGGAGAAAATCGAAAACAATGTCAAACATAATTTAGGTCTATAAAGTTGTATAAGTTGTGGAGGTAACATTTGTTTGACAGTAGCATTTATTTTGAAAACCTTGTCTTGGGATGCTGGAAAGTGACAGTAGTAGTAGAGTATTCTTTAATCGGCACATGTACCCTTACTGATATGCTGAATGCTACCTAGTAAGATGTTTGTGTGTTTCCAGGTGAATAGAACAGATTGGTAAGTAGTATCCTGCTTTTTCTTTTTATGACCACTGTCTTCATCTACAGAATAAATTTCGAAGCTAACCAAAAACAAGGGTATCCGAATTGAACCTAAAATTCCAGTTATAAGCAAAACTTGAACGCACCAAAAAGATAAGGACTTCAAGTTTGATTACGAACTGAATATAACTGGAGGACTTTCTAGGACCCAGAAGTATCAGACAGCTGTTTCATCCCTGTTTGAGACTCTTCTATCAGTACACACTGTGGAAAGTCGTGACCCGTGGGGCCTACCAAGTTGACTCTGAAGACAAACACTTACTGATGACATGAGCAGCCAACTGAGCTATAGATGACGAATCGGGAGAAGTTAGAAGTGATGAACCATTAGATTCCATCCCTTGACTGAATGGTTGTGTTTTCGATTCTTGATTGGAACATGCTACTGAGTAGTGACAAATCAGGACACTACAGCGGTACGCTAATCCATGCAGTTTCACGATTCTCTATCAGTTTATGATAAGAACCCAAAAATGTTCTAGTTACAGTTTAGAGGTTTATTTACTGTAATATTACTTTTGATTGGGAATAAATGGTGTATATTGACAATTTTCAAACATCTTTCAAGATGTTTTTTTCTTGAGCAGGCTGAACAACAGATGAAATTAATTTAAAAATCAAACTGAAACATAAAACTAACGTGTCCACGAGTAACTACTACATAATTTGGTCTTTATATTTTCACTATAAAGATGTTTATGTCAAAGAATATGATAAGCAATACTACAGTGTGTTATAGTTTACCGGCTCCTTTATAAACCATTTGGTCAAATTTCAATGATAACCACTAATTTGACAACAAGATTTAACATTACATGGCGTCTGAAAAGAACAGTACAGATAAGTGCTTTCCGACACACCTAGAAATTTATTAGCTCATGCAAATTACATACTAGTGTTTTCTTATCTCTTTTATTTGGGAAATGAATGCATCATCTATATCACTTTACTCAGAAAATTATGGGATGTGTTGTTATTAACGATGCCAGTGATTTTTGTTTTAATTTTTGCATGAGTGGTTTTTCAACAGAAATTTCATACGAATAATTTGTTTTATGTGTTAACGCATTATTCAGTATTTCAAGTACTTCCAAGTGAACTTAGTTCGAAGAGCAGTCAACCATGTGTGCAATTAACGATTTTTTTTATCAAACGATGATAAAATACATCAAGAATATAAATATCCCATTTAATCTTGAAAACAAAGTCAGAAATGAATTTTGAACATTTATTCATATTTATAGCTATTAGTAAATTGAATTTAGTTTTTTTTACGGGAAGTATGAGATACACTGAGTATACCCTTTTACAAAATAAGAATACAATTCTTTCATCTGAATAACAAAATTGTCAAGAACTGTCTTTGGAATAAACACCATACGTGAGCTTCGTAGGCATTTCGGTGATATTTGAAACTTTAAACTAGGACTTTTGTTGTTTTGACCTTTCAGAAATAAAAGAAATCCGGTAAGTCCAGAGCTGTTAGTTTCGTTAGTGAAGGGAAATTATTTCTTATCAGAGTAAATGCTTATTCCAAGTTTAAATCACAAGGGAAACAAACAAACACTACGTTGGTTTACAAATGCGTTTCAACATATTGCATGCAAGTTCAGTACTATACGTACGCCCAAATATTGAGTCGGTATGATGTTATATTCGTTTTTAATATTCATAAAGACGAATGTCTGACTTATTATCAAAGGGACATTGTGTACCAGAATTAAAAGTTCTAAACTATTTTCAAAGTACCCAAAGAAAATAGTTCATACATTAATAAATTCTTCTGTGACATTATTCTATTGCCAGTTCATTTGATGTCACAAATATGAGAAGTACTGAAATTCCATATTGTGTTACTTGCGATATAATTTATTATTTTAGTATAGAAACATATGCAGACAATAATGAAACTATTTACATCAGGATGATATGCTCAAATAATACTGAGGAGGCTGTCTGATGTATTTATCATCTTGTTTGACTAAATTACATGAATAGAATTACGTAACAAGCTTTTGCATCACGCAAGTAAATATACATAAATTCTTTTGGTTCTATTTTGATTAATTATTTATCTGAAAAACCTAAATTCTTTCGTACTATATTTTTCTGTATTATTGATCATTTCCTTTTGTAAATAATTACAAACTGATAAAATAAAGATAGTGATACAATATGTGTGTAGATTATTATCACTTGTATTATTTACATCAGTATTTTCAATCTCCTGTGAGTTCTCTGTAAACATCTGTGTACATCTGTTTCATCGATTATCAATCAGGAGGTTATGTCGTTATCTTGCTTAGTATTTAAAGGATATTTTTGGAAATTCTTCACGTAAGCAGCAGACCTTAAAGCTGACAAAGTACTTAGCTACTAGAAGTTGGCATATTTCATTTACGATACCACTAGATACGTACGTAGTAGAAAGAAATGTACAGTTGTATTTGTCGCAATCCCGCACAACCATAGCTTAACAGAAATATTTTCAGTCACCATAGGAATGTACGGTTATTTCAAGATAAAATACCCCAAAATGATGTATTAGTTATTCATCTGTGTCCTTACTCTTAAACCAATATGTACCATATAGAAATTTACAAAGAAAGGATAAAAGTGTCAGCTGGTATTTTATTTTTGAAATAAGAAATAAATATTGAACAACTTTATAGAATATAATCAGAGAACACTATCCTGATGAGTGCTACT